AGAAAGAGAGACAAAGATCGTCTTATTCTTACAACCTCATAAGAATCAAACCAAACAAAAAGAGGCGACCAGTTTCTCAAAACTCCGATCTCAAAATCCGAATATTGAGATCTCTCCCGTTTCAATGGCGGATTTGCTGAGAAAGGTGAAATCGATAAAGAAGAGGCAAGATCAGAGCCATCAACAATCTCTGATCCTTGGCAAATACGAAATGGGTAGGCTTCTTGGCCATGGAACCTTCGCTAAAGTTTATCTCGCAAGAAACGCTCAAACTGGAGAAAGCGTAGCGATCAAGGTAATCGACAAGGAGAAAGTTCTTAAAAGCGGTCTAATCGCACATATCAAACGCGAGATCTCGATCTTGCGTCGTGTTCGTCATCCAAACATCGTTCAGCTTTTCGAAGTCATGGCTACCAAATCCAAGATCTACTTCGTAATGGAGTACGTCAGAGGAGGTGAATTGTTCAACAAGGTAGCTAAAGGAAGGTTAAAAGAAGACGTCGCACGTAAATATTTCCAGCAGTTGATCTCCGCCGTATCGTTTTGTCACTTCCGCGGTGTTTATCATCGAGATTTGAAACCGGAGAATCTTCTCTTAGACGAAAAGGGAAACCTAAAAGTCTCTGATTTTGGTCTTAGTGCTGTTTCTGACCAGATCCGACAAGATGGGCTGTTTCATACGTTTTGTGGTACGCCTGCTTACGTGGCGCCGGAGGTTCTTGCTCGAAAAGGCTACGACGGAGCTAAGGTTGATATATGGTCTTGTGGAGTGATCTTGTTTGTGTTAATGGCGGGGTTCCTCCCTTTTCATGACCGGAATGTTATGGCTATGTATAAGAAGATTTATAAAGGAGATTTTAGGTGTCCGAGGTGGTTTCCGGTTGAGATTAACCGGTTGTTGATTCGAATGTTGGAGACTAAACCGGAGAGACGGTTTACAATGCCGGATATTATGGAGACTAGTTGGTTCAAGAAAGGTTTTAAGCATATAAAGTTTTATGTTGAAGATGATCATAAGCTTTGTAATGTTGTTGATGATGATGAGATTGAATCCGTTGAATCGGTTTCCGAGAGGTCTTCTATGGTTTCTGAACCCGATGACTTTGAGTCTTTTGATGGGAGGAGAAGGGGAGGTTCAATGCCTAGACCAGCTAGTTTGAATGCTTTCGATATCATTTCGTTTTCGCCAGGTTTTGATCTTTCGGGGTTGTTTGAAGATGATGGTGAAGGCTCTAGGTTTGTATCTGGAGCTCCTGTGGCTACGATCATATCGAAATTGGAGGAAATAGCCAAGATTGTGAGTTTTACCGTGCGAAAGAAGGATTGTAAAGTGAGTCTTGAAGGTTCAAGAGAAGGAAGCAAGAAAGGTCCATTGGCAATTGCTGCTGAGATATTTGAATTGACTCCAGCTTTGGTTGTTGTTGAAGTTAAGAAGAAAGGAGGTGATAAATTGGAGTATGATGAGTTTTGTAACAAGGAACTGAAACCGAAACTGCAAAATTTATCTTCGGAAAATGGCGAATCGGTTTCTAGTTCGCGTTCTTTGCCGGCTTATTTACTTTCTGATACTGATTAGGAAGATGAAAAATGAAATTTTTTTGTTCTTGTTGTTTTAGATTCTTGAATCATATGTGACCTTAACAAATTGTTATTTTCTTGTTCTTTGTATGGTGTGTGAGAGGCATTAGAATTTAGACCTAAAGAGAGAGTGGTGAGATATGATTCATTGATGTGTAGAAAGGGAAAACACAGATTAAATAAACAAGTTTGTTGTTATTTTGTGCTTGATCTTTTACAATTTTTGTTTTTTTTTTTTGCTTTAATTTCATTATATATGTACTCGATAAACTTTATAACAAACTCTAAAATGTTGTTGAAGTTTTTAACAATGTGTGAAAGAGTTAGTAGCCATACCATTAGCTAATTCACAATTGTGTTTGTTCTGTTAAATGTGTTAAATTCTAGTGGCCGCACCATTAGCTAATTCACACATTGTTTTGTTTTTATTTTTCCTCTACTTTAAAAATCTTTGTGTGACTATTGCCCACAGTAAAAAAGTAACAACAATCTAAGATATATGATGATGATTTCCAGCCATTATCATAAATCTCACAATTTGAATAGATACTGAAATAAAAACAATAAAATCAAGAAAATATTATTGAGATGCAAAAATAACTTCAAACAATCTTCTCATTGTTGCTATTGTTGTTGTTTCCTTGCCATTTCCAAACAATATCTTTCAAAGAAGGCTTAAGCTCACTATCACAAAATTGCTTGTACTCCATCGTATCACCTCTACTTTTCTTGAACTCAACCATATGAAAACTCTTTGTCACTTCATATATCTCAACGTCAATCGCAAGCTGTCCTTTTCTTCCTTCTCTCTTATCTTCCATCTTCACTCCTACATTGCTCTTAGTCAAATTGAATCTCTCATTAATTGTTGCAATCTCTTCGAATTTCGACACTATCTCTTTCGCTTCTTTCTTAGTTGTGAACTTTGACTCTGATCTCTCTTCTTTCTCAAACAAACCCGAGAGATCGAATCCTTGAGACAGCGAAGAGATCAGGTCAAACGCGTTGTAACACATCGGTTGTACTGAGAACGCTGCATGGACATCGCTGAGCAGCGAGTCGATCTGATGACTATCAGGAGATGTAGGCGTTTCGATCTTCTTGTAACCCTTTTGAAACCAAGAATTCTCCATAATTTTGTCAATCTTGATTCTTGAATTAGGGTTAGGATCAAGAATCCGAGACAACAGCTTCTTTACTTCCGGAGGAAACCAATTAGGACATTTGAATTCGCCTTTTGAGATTTTCCGGTACATGTCCACAAGATTTTGCTCGTGAAACGGAAGAAAGCCAGCTAATAACACATACAACACAACCCCACAAGACCAAACATCGGCTTTAGCTCCATCATAACCTTTCTTACCTATCACTTCAGGAGCCACATAAGCAGGTGTTCCACATGTCGTGTGAAGCAAGCCATCTTGTTGCTTCGAGTCTCTCAACGCGCTCAACCCGAAATCAGATATTTTCAAATCGCCATTTTCGTCTAGAAGAAGATTCTCCGGTTTGAGATCACGGTGGTAAACTCCGCGGCTATGGCAATAATCGATTGCTCCGATCAATTGCTGGAAATATTTTCGAGCAATGTCTTCTTTAAGCTTTCCTTTAGAGACTTTATCGAAAAGCTCACCTCCTTTAACGTATTCCATAGCGAAATAGATCTTGGTTTTGCTAGCCATGACTTCGTGGAGGAAGACGACGTTAGGGTGACGAACGAGACGCATCACTGAGATCTCTCGTTTGATTTGATCGATTAATCCGACTTTCACAATTTTATGTTTGTCGATCACCTTGATGGCTACGCTTTCTCCTGTTTCCATGTTGCGTGCGTAGTAAACTTTTGCGAATGTGCCTTGACCTAGAAGGCGACCTAATTCGTATTTTTGCATCAAAACGATGCCGTTTTTATCCATTTTTCTGACGGCTGTTTTGGTGAACAAAGGAACTTGATGAAAAAGCAGAAGAATGAGTTTATTGAACAACTTCGTCTTGGAATGTTTTTTCCATTTACTTAGAAGAGATAGACAACGCTCAAATTCTGTAAACGTTCATGTGAGGAGAAAAAGTATAATTTTCGAATTGTTTTGTTTGGTTGTCTTTTTCTTCTTGGGTCTAAATCTTGCATATATTTAAAATAGTAATGCTAAAAAAAAAAATACAAGAGGAAAAGATCTTAGAGTTGTGTGGTCGTGGTGATTCTTGGAATGGGATTTCCTAAAAATAGTGGATGCTATTTGTTGATATAAGAATATCCCAGATTTTTTTTTTCTATTTTTGTATATTAATTATTTGTAATTAATAATATATGGACTTCAATGGTTGTCCATAAATCTTTAGATGATTCAAGTTGTGCGACTTGTCTCTCATAAAATGTCATGATTTGAAAATTAGTGGATCAGAAATCTTGGAGGTGCATATATATCTTCTTCTTTTTTGGGTTTTTGTTAAATCTTATTTAAGATTTTTAAGGCTTTCAATTCTTATTGTTTAATTTTTGTTAAAGAGCTAGAACTAGTGAACTAGTTTACCAAATCTACAAAAGTAGTCTATAAGTTTTGATGTCGCTGAAAAGAGGATGAATTCAATGAAAAACAAATTTCTCATAATGGATAATGGAAGCTATATTTCAATTAAATCCCTATTATTTCAAGATTTTAAGGAAAGTAGTATATGAAAAGTGTTCCCTATACCAACCAAGTGTTAAAATGACATGAAAATGAAGGTTCACATGATGAAGCAAATTTTTGAATAGTTATCTATATATATTATTGTCTTTTTGTGGATATATTTCTAACACACACAATAAATTTAGAGAATTTAGAATATGAAAAATCCAATGCAATCTTGGATAAAAAATTCCAAGCTGACTTGTCGAGACGAGAACATGTTGCTGCCACCTAAACACACAAATCTCAATTTCTCTAACTATTTGTTGTCGTTGTGGCCCAATTATTCACAGTTGTACATGCATCGAAGATAATATTATTGTCTATGTATTTCTTGATGAGTGAAAATACCATGTGAATAAAACTCTTAAAATGAAAATTGCTCAAATAGATAGGTTTAAAGAAGTATATAAAACATCAAAATAAATTAAGCTACAATATTATACGAAACAATAGTTATTAGATAAGATAGGATTGTATTTAAAAACATATTCTGCGTTTAAAAACAAAATATCTATCTATATCTTATACAAAAACCAAGTACTTATATAAAAACCTTATATAAAACCAAGCACCCTAATACGATAAGACTTCAGAAAATAAAACTAACATATATAAGGGTTATATATCCCTAAGATATGTATACCATACATAACTTTATAGATAGTATCAAGATTATAATTCTTGTTATTATGAAATTCTTATATTTGACACGTACGTACCTATAATATATATATATATATATATATATATATATATATATATATATCATCTCTAATATAATAAAGACTACTTCACTTCCTCTCTTCCGGCATCACCTTCGGCGTCAACCATATGTTCACGACGGCGACTATCTCTCATACATCCCCACTCATGCATCGAAAGATGAAGTTTCTTCCCGGCGAGCAAGAAATCGGCCCCTTGTACCGGCGATAGAATCTCGACGATCTTCGCTAAAGTATCTACCCTTAGATGATCGGCCTCGGCCAATAAACTGGCCATAGCTTCTTCTTGCTTGTCGAGAGCTTGATCCACTACCGTGTTAGGCACTCCGACGTGCTCCACCTCGTAAGCCACGGTGGCGATGGGAATATCCGCCGCGTCTTCTTGTAGGCTTGAGATTTTCTTGGTCATCTTCTCTTCTTCGTCTATGATTTTTACATGCAACACATTGATTTTAGCTAGCTGCTCCGCACTTAGATCACTAAGTGATGCACCGCCACCACCACCTGTCAAAACCAAACCAAATATTTTTGTCTTACATATATTGACCCGAACCAAATTGTTAAATTCAAACCGAACCTAAAATTTATGTAAGATCCTGAATTACAATCTATTTATTCGTGTCTCAAACAAAATGAACCGAATACTAATTAAGTTTTCAAATCGGTCAAAAATTCTTAATAACAAACAATCGTAATAGAAATCGGACTGAAACCAAACCGTACCAAATTTTATCCAACCGAACCAAACAATATAGTCTTTTAATTTGTGTTTTGTTTTTTTTTTTTAATATATAAATACTCAAAAATCGAAAAAACTGAAAAAACGTCCAAACCTATACCTGAAGATTCGTAGCCATCGATGTTACGAAGGAACTGAGTGACACGGATCTCAGTTTGTGAGCCACACAAAGCATAAACGAGCCTAAAGAACGAAGATGGTCGGCAACCACCCATCCAAATAAGAGCGTTCTCTAAAGGAGTGTTCCACGACGGTGCATAGTAGTTGGAGCTACACCGGCGAGCAAGACTAGCTCTCTTTCCGGCGTACTCTTTGAAATCTCCGATGATCTTTCCCGTTAACTCACGGAGCTTGTCATCATTATCTTTATCCCCGTGTTGAGATTGTCGCTGAGCTAAGAGTTGTTTGAGCTCAGGGATGCGTTCAGATTGCAAACTCATCCACTCGAGATAACAACTTTCTTGAGCTTGTTCGATGTTCTTTGATGAAGATCCCATTTTGTTTTTTTTTTTTTTTTTTTTCTGATATTTTGGTTATTGGTTTGTTTTTGTTTATGTTTTGTGTATCGTTGGGTTTATATACAGTTTGGACCAGAACCAACTTTTATTCCCTGATTAATGATTATCTCCAAACCAAATATTATAAAATATAATAATATTGATGAGTATTGAATATTGAGTACAATGTCGAATCCGGTTTAAATGATTCATAATTTATAACCAAAATAATAATAAGCAATTTTTTGAAAATAAATGTTTCCAAACTAGATAGAACCAAAATAAACTGAATTTAGGGTGATATTTTCTACTTCTAGACTTCTAGTAATAGATATTTCTAGCTAAAAGCTCAACAGAAGTTATATTATTTGAACAAGTATATACTTAACCGAACCGAATAGAAACATATAAATACATTGACAACACAAAAGTCGAAATGAACTTGGACAGAAAAGGTTTAATTGGACACCTTTTGTTTTCGTTTTTTTTTTTGGTCAAGTCACGGACACCTTTAATTAACGAATAGGTTATTAGAACTGAGAGTTGGAAAGATTATACGTGCTTTGCGGTGAATTGAGAAGAAATAATGCATGCATGCATTACGTGGAAGACTTATAGAGAGTGCAACTTGTCGTTCCAAAATTAGTTAATTTTGCCATTAATTTTGTGCATATATATAATCAAAGAAAGTGAGAAACCCTTTCATCTAAGTAACGGAAGATGACACACTCTACTCTTTTTCTAGAAAAAGAGATACATAATTAAATTCATCCCAAGAAAAAATAAATAAACTAAAAATTAGAATTTGCATGCATATAGAATATTAATAATTATGATAAAACAAAGTTAGGTTTCTTCTAAGTTCTAAATGTAATACTTACACGAGAGAAAGATATATTGCAAAATTCAGAATGATGTCAAATGTTCCATGTGGCAACTTTACCTCTTTAAAGAGGACAACAAAATTGAAAGTATAGCATAAACAGATAAACTCCATTTATATATTTCATTTTAAAGTAAAAAACATTTTTATATATTTCAACCACTAATGCGTTGGTATCACCTATTTGTAATTTTATTTCTTCTTTGTGGGAATTATAACTTCTTCTTTTGTTAGTTACTAAAATGTTAGTTACTAATTAATATATACTTTTGCATGTTATATGAGTAAGATACGAATTTTGTAATATGTTTGGGGATCAGACTTGAAAACGGGTGTAGGATAACTTTGGGAACGAGAGTCCTCTCCAACTTTTAGATTTCTTTTCGTAAAAAACTTAGTATGATTTAAAAAGCTTAATTAATTAACTTCTGCCACTTACTACGAGTGGAAACGATACTTATAAAAAACTCGATATGATCATATATATACAGATAGAAGTTCTAATAGTGAGTGAATTCATAACATAAATCACATGCATGAAATGAAAGCGGCAGAGAAAAATTAAATTACTGGAAAGGTGGATTTCATTATCGAAATAAAATATAAAATGTTTCTATAAATTGAATAAAGTTTGTTTTTATTGTATACCTAGGTAGTAGGAAACCTTTGAAAGAAAGAAAATTCATCTCAAAATCCCGAGGTCAAGTCTTGCACTCTTGCTATAGGAAAAATACAAGAAAATAGGAAAATTTGGACAAGCGGTCCAACAATTATCATGGTTTTAAAATATGGATTGGAAAAAACCAAAGATTAATATCGTTACCACTTACTAACTATATAATTGGTTGTATTTATAGCAGTGAATTTAGACACGTACGAGGATGGTTTGACACATGGCAGGCGAGTCCCTCTTCGTGTAACGTGCTTAACTAAAAAAGCTTCGTCATGGTTGTCGTTTTTCAGATGAATACCTGTCTGCTCAGGTTATTGAACATACATATGACTAATATATAGTATCTTTTATTACTACATTATTGGGTATTTGGTATTTGCATTATAACGTCAATGAAAAAAGTTAAAAAGAAAAAAAAAAGCATCCATGAGTTTACTTTATCAATGAAAAAAGTTAAAAGCAACAAAAAAACATCAATGAGTTTTTAAATCTTGTAACCTTTGGCTAACCCGGTCACATTCACATGCAATGAGGTGTAACATTTGGCTAACCCGGTCACATGCAATGAGGTGTAAAATCTTTGGCTACATTGTTTCTTCTAACCTAAACGAGTTCGACTTCTCTCCTAGTTTAAAGTAAGAGTTCATTTTAAGATATGAAGTGAAGCATGTCTGCGAACAATTTTGTATAAAGAAGATGTAAATGTAATATATACCTGATTTTAAGGTGTAATTTTGTGTTGTTCTTCCATTGTTATAGTCTTACGTTATTATTACTAACAAAATATCATTTGCTATATATAGAAAGACACAATTAAAAATTTTAAAATAAGTACAAATCAGAAAGAAAAAAAACCATATAATGGGGAATAGGTTAGTAAAGAAGCTGGTTAATTATAGTTTACAAGCAACTTTTCACCACAAAAGACGTTAAATTATACGTAGGTATATGTAGGATAGTATACAAACAATTATACAAGCACATCGTTATATATGATCTGGATTCCAAATACACTATCAATACCAACCAAGAATACAAATTTAATGAATAGAAAGAATTAAGAAAAACATATAAGAACGACGATGTTTACAGTAAACAGATAGAGAAAGAGCTTGTGAACCTCTGGCACGTGTGACGACTCGAAGATAGAGAGGAGAGGATGAGAAGAAGGAGAGAGAGAGAGAGATCGTTCTTGTTCATGGTTATGTAGCTTCAGAGGATAAGATCTCAAGCTCTGCCCACCAAAGAGGAGAGAGTCTTGGTGTTGCTTGTTCTTGAGAAATCTTTATTACTTCTTTCAACTGTTCAACCACGTCTTTCATTTTTGGTCTTTGGCTTTCGTCGATTCTAAGACAATGTCGTACCACGTCACATATAGCTTCAAGCTCTTCTTCTTTGAATGTTGTCAACGTAGGATCAATCATATCTCTCAAGTTATCATTCTCCAGATACTTTGATGCCTTGTGAGACACAAGAGAAGAAAACATGAAAGTGTTACATTAGTAATTCAAAATCAAGAAATATTGAGATTTGATTTTGAGTTTTTTGAGTCTTTTGTTTACCCATTCTGTAATTGTTCCTTCTTCATCTGAATCTGAGAGCTTTCCAGAGATAATCTCAAGCATTAATACTCCAAAGCTATACACATTAGTCTCTGGTTCAGATAGTAATGGCAATGAAGATTGGTCTAAATCGCCACTCATAGGTTTCCTCGGTTTACTCCCTGTTTGTCCACTGAAAGGAACCTCTCCAACCTGCAAAATGAATAGTTTGATTAATAATCAAGAATACCATTGAAACAGTTTTCTTGTTAAGCAAGAAAGAAAAAAATCATTTATAAACAGTTTTCTTGTTAAGCAAGAAAGCAATAAGTACCTTTGCTGCATAATCATCGGTTAAGTAGATTGCTGATGAGACAAGTTTAGTGTGCGCGATAGGTGGATTCAGCTCGTGCATATATTGAAGACAATAAGCAGTTCCCATTATAATCCTCATCCTTGCACTCCAATCAAGATGCTCCATTTCCTTATCTGAACAAGAAGATAAAGATTGGTTGGTGAACAAGATCTTGATATGGGAGACAGGTTCAGATGTTTATTACCGTGCAAATGTTCGTAAAGAGTTCCATTTGGAGCATATTCGAAAACCATCATCCTATTAAACGGTTCATCTTCTTCGCAGTATCCTATTAGATTCACAAAGTTCTTATGGTTGACTCTTGACATTGTATCAATCTGCAAATAAGTTAAAGCTCTCCAAACATCAGTCAAGATTCTTGGTAAAAGAGGTGAGAAAAAGAAAACTCTGTTTCTTTTGATTACCCTTCTGCGATAAGTCATTTCCATAGCTCTTGTCCATTCTCTCGTTTCCAAAATCGCGGTTGAAGCAACCGCAATCTCAACACCACTTGACAAAGTTCCTTTATAGACAGTGTAACCATCAAATGCTTCAATGATATTACTGAAATCTTCACAAGCAGTTTCTAGTTCAGACCGGTTTAGCTTAGGTACACCTGAAAACATTTTCTCACATTAAGTTAAACCTAAAAAAAACAGAGCAAAAATGAGTTTGCTTTAAACAACTTCTTTTTACCGGTAACAAAAGCTTTCTGCAACTGTCCACTCAAACCAGTCTTCCATGGACCTATACTCTTCACAGCTCTTTTCCGGCAGAAGAAGATAACCGCTACTATTATCAGCATCGCTACGAAAGCAGAAAAACCAATAACAACATACAACCAAATGTCTTTAAACCCTTTTGATTTCTCTTCAAATTTTCTCGGTGGATCAATAGACGTGTTGTTAGTAGGAGAAGGAGGAGAAGAAGAAGGAGGGATCAACGGAGGTATTCTCTTCTTCGCATTAGCTAACGCGGGAAAAGACCCACTGCTTCGAGGAATCACTATGGTTACAATCTCTTGAGAAGGACTAGGAGCATCAGGGGCTGGCATTGCCGCTAAATTACTTGTTCCCTCGAGTAACTCACGCCTTTTGAAGATACTAGTTTCGTTCTCTGAATAACCTGCAACAGCAACAAAAGAAGATTTAGTTTCTAGTGTTTCCAATTGCAGAAGTTTCATTCATCTTTTAGCCTTACTTGGTTGATACTTCGAGACATAATTAATCCCACGAGATTCTCTACGCACCCTGAAGAGACATAAACGTAGACAATAAGTAACACTTGAGGATTGGAAGATACAAATCAAACCAAGAGGATTGAGAAAATTTTCATATTACAGGAAAAAATGCTTACATGTAACGTCTTGTAGTTGCTTTGATCCGCAATACAAAAGCCTTTGCCTTGTTTGTTCTTATTAGACTTCTCCTTGAAACAGTACTGTCAATACAGTTTTTAAAACACAAGTCAGTTGAAAGCATATATTTCTCCATCTCAACACAAGTATTATAACTACAAAAGTTTGGTTACCAGTATCCAAGTTTTCTATTTACACAGTCGAGGACATCAGCGGAAAGCGAAGACAGATCTTGGTTCTTGTTCATCAACTGGACTTTATATAGCGATTGAAGTCTCAGAAACTTTATAGTCATAAAACCCGCGAATTCGTTACCAGAAAGCAACCTAAAGAATCCACCAAGAAACAGAACATTTTCTTTATCAACACGTTTGATTTGGTTTAGGTCAAAAAACATCACAAGCCTTTTAATCAACTCACAAGTTTTCCGGTGTCAAGACTTTGTTTAGCTCGGATGGAACAACGCCGCTTAACTTGTTATCTCGTAAATCCAAGAACTCTAATTTCGCAAAGCTCGCAAACTCCTTTGGAATATCACCAGAGAGATTGTTCTTGGATAGTATACTACAACACAAAGTAAGTTTTTAATTTTCAAGAAACAGAGGAAAAGATCAGAGATTAGTAAAGAAGATCCTTACAGAGATCTTAATTCACTCAATTGACTTAGCTCAGGAGCTAAAGTTCCTTCCAACGAACAACCACTAAGATTCCTACAAAACAGAACCAACAACAATGTCATCATCAGAACAAGAATCACAAAGAAGTCACAAAGAAACTCTTAAAATTACAAAACTTACAGCATATGCACTTTGTTGTCGACACACGTAACACCAAACCAAGAACAGAAATGATCAAGACCATTAGAAACATTCCAAGTTGCAAGAGTTCCATGAGGATCAGAATCAACTCTTGCCCGGAACTTCAACAATACAAAACCTACATTGAAACCACATGACACAACAAGAACTCAACAACATTGATTTACATACAAATGATCTAATGAGAAATAAAACATTCTTGTATATACACCTTCAGATTTGAGGGACAAGGAGGGACGAGATTGAAGGGTAATGATGAAGAACATGAAGCAAGAGAATTGGAACCCAATTGGATTCCATCGACAACCCATTTTAGCTATACAAAATCGCCAGATTTTTCCTAAAAATGAAACGAATTATAAAAAAAAATACAAACTTTTACAGAATCTTCACGATGATCATTGAACAATCAGGGTTTCTCATTGTTTCCAGTTTTGCAAAAAAAAAAAAATCATAAAACCCTAAAAATTCCTAAAGAGTCAAACAACTCTCTCTTTTTTTTTTTTTCTCTTCTTCTCGTTAATCCTGCAAAAAAGAAAAAAAAAATACCAAACAAGAAACAAACAAAACATTAACAACAAATATAAAACAAAGAGAATATTAATAACCCTCTTGAAGAAGCAATGTGAAGAACATTGCAAATTAGGTATATAAAAAAAATTACCTTTAAAAGAAGAAACTTCTTCACCAAGAATTGGGTAGGGTTTCAGAAATGAAAAACAAAAAAAAAAACAAAAAAAAATCCCCAGAAAAATAGAAAATGATTTAAAAATAAAATAAAAAAAACAGAATTTTATTGTTTTAAAAAACGAATATTAAGTTTTTTTTCTGATATAATGTTGAACTTGCCCTTTGTTTTGTTTTGTTTGCAGGATGATGAAGATGAAGAAGATGATCGATGAAGACGATGATCTCAGAGTTTTCTCTCTTCGACCATCTTTGGTCTCTCCAGGGCCAAAGGGTGGTGGGTTCTCTCTCCTTCCTCTCTCTTTCCTTTTTCTTCCTCTCTCTCTCTCTCTCTCTATCTTTTTTTTTTCTTTCCTATTTTTTTTTCAATTCTTTTTCAACAATTTTCACCTCACAAAACTGTCTCTGTTAATTTTTTTTTTAATTATAAATTTCCTATCAATGAGTATCCTATTAACTTCCTTTAGATTTTCCATAATTATAGAATATTTTTTGTATTCGTATTAATAATTCAAAACTAAATAACGTATCGAACATAATATTATATGGCGCGAAAGATTAGTCAAATAATAATTTTTTTAAAAGAAAACAGAGTTGACCTGAGACTATGGTGCCAACTTTGCTCATAGGACCGTTGGATTATTAAATAAGTTATATGTGTTATGATCAACGGTCCAGTGTTTAGTGACGTGGCATATAGAATAAGTGTAGTTTACATGGGATTTAATTTTAAATAATTCAAGATCATGTGCTTCTTACTTACATGTCGCCCACTACTATATAGTTAATTATATTTTAATTTTGTAAGTCAACCTTAATTATTTTCTCCATATGTTAGTAAGAGTTTGATGCTTCATCTAATATGATGATTATAAATGAAATTGTTGGTCGATGACAAAAAAAAAAGAAAAAAAAAATGAAATTGTTGGTAGTTGTTGGGCTTTTAATTAAGAATCATAACGAGTATCTTATATGAAGTATTCTTAGTTGGGCCTTAACATCCAGTAGAGGCCTAGTCCAGTAAAACATCTATACAATTATTCACATCTTGGTTTGATGACATTTGTAAATCGCTAGTTTAATAAACCAAAAATTTGTAAGAGATTTGTAAATAATCATACTAGATATACATACTATGAGTCTATGATCATATGGAAAATTTAGTTAACCAAATAATTTCATTTATAAAAAAACAACTCCTCGTTTTAAATGTGTGGATGCTTTCCCGTTTCTCCTTTCAAATATTTGAATCAGTTGATTCAATTCCTTAGATAAAAATATTGGTAATTCATGTTGATACTAATGCTATTTTAATGAAAACAAGTAACCAAAAAAATAAATAACTAAGAATTTTTTTTGAACTTGTGGAATTGTCAGGTTATAATAAATAAATTTAGTTTTGTTTTATGCATCTAATTTTATTTGAATTAATAAGTGTTATATATAATAGAAAAAAATAATGCCGGTATCTCAAAGATTATTATTATTTATATTTTTTTGAATGAATGTGAAAATCTTTTTACAATGAATGCATCATTATTCAAAGTTTATTGTTACTCTTATTATGATAGTTAATATAACATTCAAAGTTTTGTTGACAGTTATGATAACATTCAAACTATAGTTGTGTATTTAAATCATGAAAATGAAAAGAAAAAAAGGAGCAAATATTTATTACGCATTAGTCATTAAAGATGTTTGAACTACACGATTGCAATGGTGTTAAAACATTGGTGTTGGATACATTAGGATAGCAAGAAAAGAAAACTTCAGATACATTAGGACATCAAGAGAAGATAGTTCCAATATTGATTTGTTCAGATACATTAGGATATCAAGAGAAGATAGTTCCAATATTGATTGTTCTGGGATATAATTGTTTTGCGATGTTTTGAAATGACTATTAATTATTATTATCTTATTTGTTTTGCTATTGATCAAGAAACGTAAGGATTCATGTTTCAGAGAAAAAAACACATAAGAAAGTAGCAAATGAATAACCATTGTGAATTTTTAGGACAATTTTAAAAAATAAAAATAAAAATAAGGAAAAAAGCCAAAAAATACGCCATTTATTTTTTATTTGGACGTTTAATACCTCATCTTTTTTGGTTGGAACAAAAATACTTTGTTTATTTTATGTTGTCATAAAAAATCTTTGTTTATATAATGGTTAGAGAATTCATACCAACGATTTAACAGTTGTTAACGCCGTTACAAAATTATATAACAGAGTTAAATTTTAACTTCAGATGTTTAAAAGTATATAAACTATTGGTATCATTTAATAGCCAATAATGATTTTGGTCAGATGGCAAAACGTGACTTTTGTGAAAGGGGGTTGGTGGGTTCGATTCCACCTGATAACTAGTTAAATTTATTTTCCTTTTTTGTTTTTTTTTCTTAATCTGCTTCTTCTTCGATTGAATCGAATCAATTTGTTGTTTTGAATTGTTGTTACTACCGAATGCAACAGTTCACGTCAGGGATTAGCGTTTGTAGGTTCGATTTGATTGTCCTTGTGACCTATGCGGAAGAACCCTTAAGTCGTCGATAAAGCTTTCCTTGCATCTTCACAGATCTCAGATCTTATTGCCACATCTAGATCTAGAGAACAAGGAAGAAGAGATCAAACCAGACAATGAGATGAAGCGTGGTAGATATCTGAGATTAAGAAGTTCACTGGAAAAAGGTAAGAAGCATATACAGTTCGGTTGAAGGAGAAGAAGAAGAAGATTATTAAAAAAAAAAAAAAAAAATTCAGTGTTGTTAGCCGGATTCGAACCCAAAAACCCTCCTCAACAAATAACACGTTTTGCCATCAGACCACAGTAGTACATCAACAATGACTTGAACACCATATTATATATAGATTAAAACATCTAAAGTTAAAATTTAACTCTGTTATATAATTTTCTAACGGCGTTAACAACTGTTAAATCGTTGATATGAATTTTCTAACCATTATATAAACAAAGATTTTTTATGACATCATAAAATAAACGAAGTATTTTTGTTGCAACCAAAAAAGATGAGGTATTAAACGTCCAAATAAAAAATAAATGGCGTATTTTTCGGCTTTTTTCCCAATAAAAATATGTATAAACAATTTTAAGCTCTCAAGACCTTGAGAAGAGTAAAAACCTCTCCAAGTTACTAAATTGGAATCATTTGGTATAATAGTTGACAATTTGATAACAAATATAAGAGTAGAAATGTTTTTGATTTTTTATTAAAAAATCATTGACATCAAAGTGAGATTAAAACTCACCATTGAAGTATTAGATAAGATTTTTTTTTAGGCAAACTAAGTATTAGATAAGATTTAAATAATTTATTGTACTTCTAAACAAAGTGCATGTAAACACTTGTTGAAAGAGGCTTGATTATTTATTATCGACTTGTTTATGATGCATGTATATGGCGATTTTTGGAAAAATCCAAAATATATAACGTATATAATTGTTACCAAACTAAAATCATTATAAAAATACAAAAGAAAATCACAAAATAATCCTTCAAATTCCAAAAGCAAAAGGGTGTTTTACTTATATTTGTAAACCACTAGTCGATTTTTTTATAGGTAAATATTATTACAATCAATAAGATTATAATCTTTATAACTAGGATATACCCCGTGGTATAACACGGGTCCAAAACTTGATATATTTGTTTGGTTGATCATCTTCGTAATTGGTATATATAGTCTAGTTTTATAAGGGTGTATTTTATTTTAATTTTATATAATTTTTTGAATTTATATTATAAGTAGATTCATAGATATATATGGTCAACCCGAGACAATTTTCTTGTAAATAAAAATTTTTATTTTAACTTAACCCGTAAAAGATTTTAAATATAGACAATCCGTAATAAAAAATATAATCATATTTATGTATACTCAAACCCGTTCAATCATATTTACGTACAATTTTATTATATTTTTAGAGTTCAAATATTAATAATACTTTAAAATTTTGTAGAGTTCAATTTTTTAATATTTTAAATATTCTATAAAACTTAAATTAAATATTATAATTTTCAGCTTTTAAAAGTTTTAATATTTATAATACTTTCAAATTTAAAAAAAAAATTGATAATATTTTGAAACCTTTTAAAAGTTTTATTTCTCTTAAATAAGGAACCATATTAAACTGAACAAAATTTTTAATTTGGATACCTGAGAAATCAAAGTTCATGTTCATTTGTAGTGGTGAACATATTAGTCGTATTTATAATGGTTTGAACTATAATCTAAAATTTTATACTTTATGTAGACGTTGTACATACAGTAAAACCTCTATAAATTAATAATGTTGGGACCATGAAAATCTATTAATTTATAGAGGTATTAATTTATCGATAAATTAATAATTATTAATTTATAGAGAGATTTACCTAATTTGAAAGTTTTTTCAGAAAAATATTTAAAAATGAGATTTAATCATGATAATTAGTATTTAATATAATCAATTACAAAGAAAATAATAATTATTATGTCTTGAAAGAGAATGCTAACAATTTTTGATATAGTAAAATATTAGAAATAAACTCTAACAAAAACTAATGTGTCTATATATACATATATTTTGAAAATTTTACATAATTATTAATTTATAATATTATTGGGACCATATATTTACAAAGGATTTTTAAAAAAATTATTATCTTATTATTTTATCGAAATATGTCTAAAATTACACTGGTCTCAGCTTGGGACCGGAGAAATTTATTAATTTATAGAGATTATTAATTTATCGAGTATTAATTTATAGAGGTTTTACTGTATATTTTTTCCTATATCGATTGAGTTATATATATGCGTCCGTTTTCTAAAATTTAAACTGCAAAATGTGTGGAAAAAATTTCTATTTTTATTATAAATTTATTTTATGTAATAATATAAATTAAAAACAAATAAGATTATATAAATATATTGGAGAGAAATTTGATTTATTAAAGAGAGAGTTTAGGAAAACATTTTGATGTAATAAATATTTGTTTCCATTTTTGCGATTTGCTTGTGAGTTAATTACAAAAGTTACTTTTAAGTTTTGCTATTTATTTAAATGGCAAGGGTTTGATTATGTAAATAATAAAAAAATAAAAAGTTATAATCCAAATTATATTTTAGTACAAAATGTACTTCAAAAATGTTAAGATAGATTATATATAATTAATTAACATGAAATTATGTAAACGAAATTCATTCAAATGTTTGAACAAATACAGTTTCTTCATACAAGAAAATTTGGATCAATACAATTCCTAAAATTGTTCGGATTGAACAATAATGTGGCTATATATTTCCAACCTAATTAAACCGATCCGGTCCGACACCAAATCCGGATTTTATCCGGCATCATTATCTACAATACCACAAATCCACAATAGTATAATACAACACAAGGCAAACGTATGACACTAAATTCTACTGTACCGGAAAAAACGAATACAGGTATAGAGAAGAGAAGATTCCGGTTTAGGATTTGCGTTGACGAGAGGGATGAACAATAATAAGGTCCTGCACACAAATGCACATAATCCAAATATTAAGACAAAGATTCTTAAGATAATTCTTATACTTATGTCCGGTTGATACATACCTCTGAGTAGCCAACACGATCATTGTGTTTATACGATCTTTTCACAATCGTCTCCCATTTTAGAGACTGAGAATTAGTCTTCCTGAAACGGGCGGCTTGACCGGAGACGACGGAGGAGGCGGCTGAGCTTCTTGGAACTGTCCGGCAAAGCCATGACTCCGTAGGAGTTTTAGGCAATGGAGGTTGAGGAATAGAGAGATTCTGTGCCCTGTTTTTGTTTCTGTTGCTCCTTCTCTTTACTTCTTCCACAAGAAACCTAATTTCTTGTCTCTGTTTCTGATCGCTTGTTCCTTCAAACCTCGAACGATTCTCCGGGATTCGGAGTGTTTCTCCGGATTTTGGTAGAGAAATTTTGGGAGTCTCTTTCGAAAATCTTGGTGGTGCATAGATTTCTTGAGACTTACTATTCATAACCTGGTTTGATTTCAAGATTCTTGGTGATGCTGACTTGGTTTTGTAAACAGAATCTAGCGGTTTCGGGTTTATGACATTCCTCGAATTTACTCCAATATCCTGACATGTCTTGATCCGAGAGAGAACCGGGTTAAGAACATCTACTGAGTTCTTGGAACATAACCATGGCGAGAACCCTAATTGAGCTTTCTTGGGATCATTTGAGTAAACTGTTGCATCAATATCTTCATTATGTTCATCCTCATCATCATCGTTGTTCAAATCTTGATTAATTGCCATAGAGACTCTCTGTAGAGCAATGTTCTGTTTCTTCTTCCTCTCCTCTTTGAAACGAGAAGCTTCTTTCTTCTTTTTCATGGCGAATGCTTCCGCAGCTGGTAAAAACCTCGACATGATGAGATCACGGTATTCAAGAATGACGTCATCTCTTGATACGTTTCCCGATCTGTCTCCATCTCCACACTTGTCGAAGTCACTGACTCCATTTGAACTGACAGAGAAACTTGCGGTTGAAGAAACCATCTCCAAAGATTTGATTAGGTCAAATTCTTCGATTACTGTATGCTGCTGATCTTTTGGCTTGCCAGGTGACTGTTCCCAAGTAAAAGGAACTGAAGATGGTTCCATTACATGCTCGAAACTCTGGTCTTGTAATAACCGAATCAGAGTTCGATGCTCTGTTTCATCACACAAATCTTGGACTTTTCTCCTCCTCCTCGTCGTCTTCTTCTCCTCGGTGTTGTATGATTCACTTAGATCCTCTGGTTTACTCGGAATCCGCCTCACGGATAGGAATGGAGCATCAAAGTTTAGTTTTTGCTCCTCCATTGTTACTTCAGATAAATTCCTTTCAAGAGCCATTTAAAGAAAAGTGTTGAGAATCAAGAAAGTGTAAAATGAATGAATAAAAAATAAGAAAACAGAATCATGAGAGTTAGTGATGTCTTCTGCTCTGCTAGATACTGTTACTATAAAAGAAATAGCACCATTTAATAGGAAGAAAAGAAGAAAAGTATTTACAGAAATTATATGGAAACTAAAGAAAAGTCAATTAAAAAATTATTAAATGTCTCTATGGCAGGTTAATTCCAGTTTTTGATTGACATGAAAAATGGTTTTATAACAAAATTTAACAGTAAAATATATAATATTTGAACTAAAAATATAAAATAATTTAGTTACTATACTATGTATATCTTTTTTGATAATCACATCTTAAAAACAATTATGAAAAAATATAGATTTCGATAAGAACAAATTCGAACGTTTGTTGTTGGACTATTATGTGTGTTTTGTGATTCTCGTGAACAACTCCATTGAGAAAATATTAATTAAGAAACTAATAGTGTTAAGGGTGATTGAAATTTGAAACATTGGAAATGAAATATTCGTTTTATAGTAAACGACATTATTTTGATCATAATATTCCGAAACAAATATGTTTTTGTCTAACGTGAATAACAGTTTTGCTTAAGATAATGTTCCTCTAGTAATATAATAAAAGAACACTGATTCTGATTTGTATTGTAACACATTTTAATTTGCATAATTGTACTTTTACTATAGAAGATAATGTTCTTCCTGTGGTACACACTCGTTACTCTAGCCTGACGTAAATTTGTTTTATTCTTATGTTCTTCATATAAAATTCGAAGAGACGAAACTATATAACATCCTTTAGTTTCGAACATGAGAAAATGTATAGGTTTCGACACAAAACCTCTTTAATTATTTTAAAAAAGAAATTTGAATTCTATAAATTTTATTTTACTATAAATAAATATCATTTTTTCGTTTCGTTTTGAGTTAACGGATGGATCCGATGATAAGTAATTATAGTGAAAAAATTCAAAAGACAACAATTTAGTCGGTCACAGTGGGCTATATTAATTTTGTCGGATCCAGGAACAACATTACTCATAGTTAGGGAATCTACTGAAAATGCCAGTAATAAAATTTCACCCATTACAAATATATTAATCTGATTTATTCGATCCAATATGTTCTGAAGTGTCAAGTGTATAATTTCAAGTGAAAAAATATAAAAAAAATTGTGAAGTTAATAAGATCCAGATACTTAAGTTTTATGAATATTTGGATAAATCGTATCTAAATAACCTAAAAAAAATTCAGAAAAATTTGTAAGTCATTTTCATTCTTGACTAGATAGACCAACTCATAAGCAATGTAAACACATGCTTTCGTCATTTTCTGGACCACGCAACGTTTTTGATAATTCTATTTATAGCATAAATGTCACGCCATGCTATATTTATTCATCTCCAATCATTATTTATTTCATTTTCTTTTCATATAGTGTAGATTAAACATTATTTGTTGTTTATTTCGTGAGCACTATTTGAAAGGTAGAAAAAAATTAAACAGCACGTTATGGTTTATTTTAAATACATCAAAATATATTTCCAAAAGATGTAAAAGAAAGAGAAAAAAAATCCCAAAAAATTGCAATGCGTACCTTCTTGTAATCAATATTGTGGACCTTGGGTGCATCGAAACAAGGTGAAGAAGATAACAAATTATTATTGTGAATTTGTGATTATTATTATTGGTTTGGCCAGCAGATAACAAATTATTAATATTGTCATTTATTTGAATTTATGAACTACCAAACTATTCAAAAGTGTATGTAAATGTTTCATTAAATTCACCAGCGGCAATTTTGTTTCTTATGTAGAAAAAAAAAAAGGACCAAGGTTTTAATGGATTATTTAAAACATGTATACTCAAAAGGAAAGAAAGTATTGTTTTCTAGATTACATCATTTTTCAACACTTTCTTAGAAGATTACAAAGAAAGCATTTTTGAAAAAAAATGTTTAGCGATAAACTACTTTGTTCACTATGGTAAACACCGAATTCGAAAATCGATATGTGTCCCCCCATTAATTTTCATATAGCATTACAGTCACACATATTTTTAATCTCGATCTCAGTCCATTTAAAATAAGAGTTAAACTCCACTTTCTACCTATTTTCAAAGTTCTAAACCTCAGTCCCATATCGCAACTTCAATCCTCGTATCAAAACCCATAATACAAAATTTTTGGTTTATTATTGGTTATACCATATCGAATGATTTGGTATAACATTAAATTGACGTGCAAACCCCTCACAAATTTGCGATAAAAGATTCACTCACAGAAACATATTTGTAGCAAAATAATTCACAATTTTTAATCCCTTAACATAAATACCATGTTTTTCTTTTAATCTTTAGAACTTCAAATTCACCGTACACAAACACAATAACTAAAAGATGTGTATATTTAAACGTCGTATCTTAAATGTAATCTCTGGCATACCCACTAAACATAAAAGAGAACCCTTGGATCAAAAGAAGAAGAAAATAGCCATGCACATAGCTCTACATTTAATGTATTGACGTTCACATTTTGGACATGTTTCATCAACCGGATAATATTTAAACCCTAAATTTGCGGACGTGAAAAGGACAGGGTAAAACTATAGTGCAAGATCCATTTTATATTATTGTCATTCATACAAAAGCTCTGATCCCACCAAATAATTTATTTCTACTATACCAAAATTACATACTTGATACATGTTTTTTTTATCTTGAAAACTGATATATAATAATGTTGTTATATATAATGTTTTGACCAAAAAAAAAAAAACAATTATAGTACTTGTACATTTTATTTAGAATTTTACAATATTACAAAAGTTCGAGTGCAAGAGAATTAAAAAATTGAAATAAAAGAACAAACCTAACATACTAACACATACTCCACACAATATATAAAATATATCATGCATATACGTGAACATGACTATTGCTATAGTAGTTGCTAACTTAATACTTTAAAACACTAAAACTATATTCTAAAAATTACAAATTTAGACGAGCGACCATCTTTTCCGAGAGCTTAGCCAATGACTTAAGATTAAACCCAACGATGGTATCAGCAAAAGACGTCGTTTCCTCCTCACTATTTCCGTCCGGCACATCCACCACATAACTCTCCACGACCACCGTCTTCTCCTCCTCCTCAGCCGCCACAAACGCCGTCGTTTTCGAACGGTAATTAACCAAACGATGATCACCACCAATGATACTAATCACCATCACATGAGACTCATCGTCAAGTTCATCTAATCTTTCTTGACTAAAACCCGCGGGAAGACCGGAAACCACCGTCACTTCACGGACGGAGCCTTCTCCTCCATCTCCGGAGCTTAGATTGCACGTTTTCACGAATTGTTTATAGGCTTGAGGGTTATCAAACCGACGTAGTATTGACCAAACTAGAGATAGTGGAGCATCTATAGTTTGTACTAGTGTGGAACCGCACTTATGATGATGTTCATGAGAAGTTTCCATTTTGTGTTTTCTGGTTATGGAACCGCACTTACGATCCATTGTCCTTTTTATCGACCGTTGTCTTGGATAATATCTTCAAATCTTTATGAACCTTCCATTATTGTTTTAAGTTTTTATATGAGAAATATCTAGAGTACTCAAAACAATGCCGACAACAATATGAGCTGTTCTCTTTTGGTGTTTTCGGAGAATCATGAAGTAATTTCATAATATCAAACAAAGCTTTAGTGATATGTATATAATAAATGGAGAATAATAAAAAGTAAATTAAGGCTTTGGACTAAGTACATTGTAATATGCACATAAAACAAAATTCTTATATAAAATTAAAGATTGATTATAACTCAAATAGTGTAGCATATGGTGGCTATATATATATATATTTATATTTGTCCATAAATTATATTTATAGCAATACATTGTAATTTGTAAACATTATGATTATTGGTTTCGTAACGTCATTGTAATGAGGAATGTAATGCGGTTAAATTTGGAGGTTTATGACATGGAATGTGTTAGAACTAGTGGCTTAAAATGAATACACGTAGTCAATTTTGTTCATACGAATCACACTTATTTATCACACATTTATATTGTAAAAAAAAAAAAGTTGAGAACAAAAAGAAAGAACAGAGATGAACCTAAAAAGGCAAGTTTAGAACAGGCTCAAACTAACCTACATTTCAAAATTCAAAGATCCAGTTTAAGCCCAAAATAGCATCACTTTTTTCTTAGGAGGGTAACAACATTTATCGAACCGGAATGCGTATGTGGTTCATCTTTCCATCACCTAAAATTCTGATAAGTAACAAAATACAACTTCAATTTTTGTTTCTTAAACATTCGATTTAGTTTTGGTTAGAGAATCTCAGAATTGCAATCTCACATTTTCAAATCTTCACGAGGTTAAGGCTTTTCTTTTTTTTACATTGAGTTTAAGGCTTTAACTTGGTAGAATTTGAAGATAGAAGAAGGGGAACCAATTCTTATTTTCTATATATATACACGACTGTGTTACGAGCAATGCTATGCAATTGTTTAGTAAAAAACAAAAACAAAAAACAAAAAAGCAATGCTATGCAATCTTCTTGGCGTCACACTTAGTCAAGCTAGGACATTATATAAACGATAATTTCTTAATTCCATTCGTTTAGTCTAAATGTGTTTCTTGTTTCAATTAGGCGCTAATAGTTTCAAGATCATGTAATTGTAAACGTTAATTTATTCAACTTAATATGATTAAATATGTATAAGGAAATACCATATATGTATATATAGACACATTAGTTCTTGTTAGATTTTATTTCTAATATTTTACTATATGAAAAATAGTTAGCATTTTCTTTTAATACATAATAATTCTTATTTTATTTGTAATTGAATATATAAAATACTAATTATCATGATTAAATCTTACTTTTAAATATTGTTTTGAAAATATTTTTCAAATTAGAAATATTTCTCTATAAATTAATAATTATTAATTTATCGATAATTTAGTATCTTTATAAATTAATAGATTTCCATGGTCCCAACATTATTAATTTATAGAGATTTTACCGTAGTATGTAACAGGATCGAACGGTATAACGGCTATGTAGTCACATTTCTAAAACGTAACTCTATTGAATATAATAGGATCGAACGGTGTAACAGCTATGTGGTCACAAAAATTTGAACAAAATGATAAAACGCTAAAATTTTGTTCAATATATGTTAAAACTACAACTATTTTTAAAATTATAGTCTTTCGACCTTTTTCTCATTTATACAGTCGTTCTTTTTTTTTTTTGTCAACTTATACAGTCGTTCTTCATTTCACTATTTGATAATTCAATTATTCTATTATCCCATATTTTCCCATCATATAAAACACATAAACTTGGTTTCAAAAAAAAAGAAAAAAAGAAAGAAAAAAGAACACATAAACTTGAACATAACGCGAAATACATGTTTTTTAAAAAATACCTACATTATTCTTCGTATAATAAGGGGTTTTTGCTAGTTACTATAGAAAACCTCATGAAATAAAACTCATGAGTTTTGAATCCTTCAAAGTTAAAACTCTAAAAGTGAACCATGCACCATCTTCTCCGATAACTTAGCCAATGACCTAAGATTACACCCAACGATAGTATCAGCAAACAACATCGTTTCCTCCTTAGTATTTCCTTCCGGCACGTCGACCACATAGCTCTCCACCACCACCGTTTTCTCCTCCTCCTCGACCGCCACAAACGCAGTCGTTTCCGACCGGTAATTAATCAAACGATGGTCACCACCAATAATGCTAATCACCATCACATGAGACTCATCGTCAAGTTCATCTAACCTTTCTAGGCTGAAACTCGCCGGCAGATCGGAAACCAACGTGACTTCACGGACAGAGCCTTCTCCTCCATCGCCGGAACGTAGAGCGCACGTTCTCACGAATTGTTTATATGTTTTCGGGTTATCAAAACGTCGTAGGACTGACCATACTAGAGGTAATGGAGCATTGATAGTTTGTACTAATGTCGAACCGCATACATGAGATGTTTTCATTATTGTTTGTTTTGTGTTTCACAAATTTTTGCTTTCTCTACCGACCGTTGTGGTTCTTGTCTTCAAATTTTTCTAGTGGTACGTTTTAGTATTTATATATATGAGAATGAAATATCTATAGGTCGACAAAGATATTAGAAAAATCTTTAGAACAAGGCCGACTGAAAGAAATATTAAATTTATGAAACTATAAAAGCATAATTAGTAATATATGAAATCTTAACATTCGAATAGATTAATAGTATATTGCAATATACAATTATACATGCACATAGAAAACAAAAATACTTAAGTGTCAAACAGTGTAACATATGATGACTATCTCTTTTGCTACACTATTTGTTTATATGACTATCAATGGTAATAGTTTTATACAAAATTATAAGGAACAATTTGCTCTGTAACGTCATTGTAACGAAGAATGTATTGCGGTTAAGTTTGGAAGGTTATGAAATAGACTGTGGCAAAAAGTGGTTCCACGTTAGTTCACACGAATCACACTTAGTAATCACACATTTATATTGTATTATAAGAAACAAATATATATAGTTGACAGATGCTAAAAGGAAGAAAAAACAAATTGACAAAACGAAAAAGAAACATATAACAAAGATGTTCAAAAACTTAATCTAACGGTAAGTTTAGAAATGTTCAAAACCTAATCTAACGGTAATGTTTAGAAAAAGGCCAAAGAGCCCAAAATTTTTTGATCCATTTTAAGCCCAAACTAGGTTTTGTCTAAAACTTCTTTTTTTGGTAAAATGTCTTTTTTTTTTTTTTGTCAAAGGTAAAATGTTTTTTTGTGTAACAACTAAAAGGTTAAATTAGTTTATGTATATCTAACACTTGTAATAAATTATACGAAATGTATTATAACACATTTTGACCCAAACAATACTTATATATCTAGCACTTGTAATAAATCATATGAAATGTATTGTAACACATTTTGACCACAAACAATAGTAGACAAGAGATTACTACTTACAGAAAATGCATGTGGGTTCTTAGCCAATTTAGGACGAAATTTCGATAAGACTTTATACACCTTTCTAAACACTTTTCATGCATATATAACCCTTGTAATTAACCATATGCAATGTATTGTATTTGTATTTTTTTATTGAGATAGCAACTTTTATATAGACCGGCAAAAGAAGCAAAATCTCAATCACAATCTCACATTCATTTTGCATACCGGCCGGAATCCATCTACAGGTTATATATTGTTTTGAAATGCATGTTGTATATGGGATAATGACTACGTACATGATCGTACTACATATATATTTGGCTTAGATCAATAATTAACCGTGCTTTATTAATTCATGGTTTCATAACTGTGTCCAAGAACTTGGAGACTGTGAGACAGGAGTGTCCCAGTGGCCAGTGCTGATCGAGTTCATCTACCCTCTTTTTACTCCTCTTAATACTCTCCTCGATATATCTTCAAAAACAATTACGAAAACATAAGAACACTTATAACTAACGCAATACTATTTGCATAAACATGACCAAACTATATCTTCTAGACTTCTACCATCGTGGAAAAAAATCATAAGTAGGATCAAAGAGTTTTTTTAAAAGTTCATCTTGGATGAATCACAAGTCAAAAACAGCGAACTCAAAATTGATTGTTTACATGCATCTGATGAACTTTAAAGTTGTTTGCATAGGACACCTAGCTACTTTTTGCAAATTGCAACAAACGTAGGGAGTAAATAATTTACCTGAGTGCTCATTAATCAATCAAAGCCATCTTAGATTATCACTGAGTTTTAAAAATAAGCAAAGTTACATGGCCTAATTACAGAACACGCGGATAATTATGCTTAATTTCTGAATAAGTAAAAGTTAAGCTCTAGATACACACACATAAAATATAGTGCTTAATTTAGTGTTTTGGATTGAGAATATTAGGTTTAGACAAGTATTATATAGCCACACTTGTTTATTTTTCAGTTACTATACTCACACATGAATACTATCAGATTTGATATTTGGGCTTGAATTGAAGGATGACAACACTAATACTAATTAAGCTAAAAACAAAAAAAGTTATTAAAAGGTGTAGGGAAGTAAATAGTGTTATCTTAATCATTCTAATGAATAGTAAATTTACCAGATATTATAAGAGCTAGCTACATAATTTCTCATCTTGGTAAATTTACCTCTTAATATATCAGTGATCAGTCACCACCATTAGGGTTGTTATAAACAACTGATTGAGTAAATTTCTTAGTTTTTGGTTTCTTGATAGTCTTGAAGTCTAATGATTGAGTGAAATCAAATAATTTAAAATAAAGAAGGAGAAGAAATTTTCTGATTACCTTATATTGGAAACTATATATGTTTTTCAAGATGTAACTTAATCTTGCTATACAACGACGTCGTATGTCTTCTTCTTTCGTTTACTTCTCTTCCTATATGGGATTCCACGAGCCTTAGCTTGAAACTGTCTCACTTCCCTCAAATATATTCGGATCGACCCGTTTCCAAACGGGTTGTTCTCGGATGATCCACCACCGTGTTCTTCGTAAGCAGCTCTTAACCGTCCTATCAAAGCATCTAAGCTTCCCCAAGCTTGCTTTAAAGGACACGTGCAAGGCAACGGTGGATCGGGTTGTCCAAAGAAGACACAAACTTGGTTATGGACTTTGGTTTTACCGAATTGGTCTAAATATTTGAGGAAGCTTAGGACATGTGTGTGGTCGAATATAGAGATTGCCATGGGTGGGTTTAGGGTTTTGAGGTATTGTAAGAACGTGTTCCAGTCACGGCGTTTCTGCGATTCGTAGCGGCTAAGTTGCAGTGGAAGCGGTTGTGGTGTGTGGTGACCAGAGTTTGAAGATGAAGAAGGTTGATCTTGTGGTCTGTGAGATGACATGGTTAGATGATATGTTTGGTCTAGATGATGAAAGGAAAATGAAATTATTTTTGGGGTTAAAAGTAAGAGAAAGAGAGAGAGCTTGAGAAATTCACTATAAGGGAATATATGGATAGCTTTTGGAAAAAAAGTTAAAAATAAATACAGAATAAGTAGACAAATATAAGTTTATATTTTAAATGAGAAAATATTCACTAGGTTTCAATCATATCATGCGAATATATCAAAATTTATATTTTATTTTGATTGGTTAATTTAAAAACCCGACATAATTACCTAGGTGGACCTAAGAGCATCACCAACCGTGAACTTGTGTGAGATTCTAAAAAAAAAATTTATAATCATATTTTAATTAAACAATAAATATTTTAGTTTTTATTTAAGTTTGACCACTCACAAATGTCCAACTGTACAAATAGTGCAAGGAACGGTAGCTTAACTAGGAGGTTTTAGAGCTTTTCTCTTTTCTCTTTCATTATTTTTAATTCATTCTGATTTATTTTTAATCTGTTTTTTTTATGAACCTCGCGTTGGAGATGCTCTAATATATGTAAAAAATCAAAAGTAAACATATGCCGATCTATATTAACATTTTTGAAGTACCTTTTGTGTTCTACCCTTTTATTTTGTAATATTTGCATAATTAAAACCTTGCCATTTGATTAAATAGAAAAAGTTTAAGATAAATTTTTTACTTAAATCATAATAAATTTGCAAAATTAGAAATCAATATTTATTACATTTAACAAAATTTCCTAAAATCTCTCCCTCATAAATCAAAAATTTCTCCAACATTTTTATATGATCTTATTTGTTTTTAAATTTGTATTATTACATAAACATATGTATAATAAAAATATAATTTTTTTTGCATATGTTGCAATTTGAATTTTTAGAAACGGATGTATATTACTCAAACGATACAAAAATATATGTACTAAAGTATTATTGATAATTGTGTAGACTCATGTGATGGAACGAGTTATAATTTACATAATTATGATTATATATATTTTTACGGGTTGTGTACTATAGTATAACTCACAAAATATTTTAATATGAAATTATACTATGTAAACGACTATTATGTCAATATCATTTCATTACTTTAAAATATTAGACTTATTTAACTAATTTGATCAAATTACGATTATATAAAAAATAAATTATCATATAATATTCTACGGGTTAAATCATAGAATTAACAATCAAAATATAGTTGTACACTCTTACATACCAAACAAAATTAATAAAAATAATACATTTTAACAATGTCGTCCCGCGGTATACCGCGGGTTAAAATGTAGTAATATTCAAATTCAATGAACCACGTACAATTTTTTTTTTTTGACTTTGTTTTAATGTTATATTAAGTTCTACAATGAATATATATATAACATGTGTTTAACTTTAATCCGTTAAGTAACATATGTCGTAATTTAGTGAATTCTAACTTTTTACTTGTTAAATTATATTAAAATTATCTAATTTTATCATGTTAAAATCTAATCAATTTTTTTAAAATATTATTATATTCTATTAAAAGTTTGAAACGTATGTAACTTTACCGTGTCAAAATCTTATCGAAAAACTAATATGCATTGTAATCTAGTTAATTAAAGTTTCTTTACGCATTGGAATCTGACGAAACGTGTCTACATTTGTATAATAGGATCTATATGCCATTACAATAAGAAGTACAATAAAACTCCTATTAATAACATTGAATGTTAATCAAGTTGGATGCGATCATACCAACATTAATATACCGGACCCTATCAGAATTTTGCAGTTAAACATGTTTGGACGAGAGTAGTATTAGGATGGGTGACCTTCCGAAAAATTCTCGTGTTGCATCTCTTTTTAAAAATTGAACAAAAAAAAAAGTAATTTTCTTACATGCAGGATTCTATTGAGACGCATCCAACTTTCTTGTGTCATAATCTAATTACTTGTTAATTTTGTTAACTACATAACTTGTTAATGTTAGTTTTGTTTTATCATCTTCTAAGTAGTGAACGTGTTGTATTTGTAAGGACCAATTCTCATTAAACCTATAAACACTTAGCTACTATCCCCTTGACCTCCTTTGAAATACTAAACATATAAGAAACAAACTCTAAACAAGATATATGTAAAAGAAGATCTTGAGTGGGGGCAATATCTTTTTATCTCCACTATATACCAAAAGTGTTAAAAGATAAAAATAGTCCACTCACGTGGAACATGGGTCCATATGTTTCACCTGGGATCATACGTACGTATGAATTCTCTTCAATATATAATGTAGGTGGATCGTATTCTTGTAATTTAACTTATCCTCTCCATTTTAATTTTGTGAAAACGAATTTAATCTATGGATTGATTAAGAAAAAGAGATTATAAAGGCTTATAAATTTATACAACCGGATATACTTATATTTAAGTTAAAATCTTAATTCTAATAAAATGCTATTGTAGTGGTAATCGATGACATACAAAAATTGAAAATACAAATTTGGAGTTGTTCAAGTGTTGTAAGAAAGTGGCAAACCAAAAACCAGGATAAAAAGTAATTTGTCGGACTGAACATGTTAAGACCAATTCACAAGTTTAGGTTCGAAAATGTATTGGGACGAATGAAAAACGTCAAATTACCAATAACAATAAACATACCAATATACAATGAAAAACATATAAATGGCTTAGAAACAAAAGTTAAAGAGCTTATACGAGTCTAATAGTTCAACAAGGTTCCACAACAAAGTTACTAATGTTATTTTGTAACTATTAATTATGTCACCAGGGTAAAACCAAATTATGTGTATTTTCTACTACAAAACAACAATGTATCACTCGTTTATAAAGTTAGACACAGTAAAGAATCAAATCAACAAAAAGGCGATAAAATAATGATGACATCAATTCATATATAGTAGTAACAACAAACAACTTGATCGATGATTGATCTTGCGGGAAAGGACGAGGCAAAAGAGGACGAGGAAGACGTAGAAGGAGACCGTGGCTACTCATGACCCTCTCTAGTTAGCTGTTCTAAACTTGTTATTCTCTAATGGTTCATTCTTGTTTGATAACCAAATGACTTATGTATTCACTAATTTATTATTTTGTTATAAACTAATTATAATTAGATATTTTCCTCAACTGTACGTGACTAACATAATATCACACAAACATCAAATTAAAACCAAAACGCGATAAAAAAAAAGAAGTTAAATGATGATATTAAATTAGATTCATTTTTAATAATGAGAAACTTGACAGAATTAAATTAAGAAAATATATAATCTCTTATAAATGTCATATGTTTTTGTGTTTCTTTCTTTATGTTTTCGCTTAGAATGTGACATCAGGGACAATACCGAGCTCCTTGAAAGCAGCGGGACAGTCAGCTGAAGGGGTCATGACCATGAAACCAAGAGGGTTAACGATACGTGTCTCGTGCGAAACGATTCCATCATTAGCTGTCAGACTGATCTTAGCGGCGTTACGTAGGTAAGCCTCTTTGCTGACGTCGCTGCAACCACTGTCTGGTGATTCAACCAAGACGAGCTCGCAAACCTCTTCCTCGTGGTCGCCGGTTACTTCCATCATGTAGCTTCCGGTTTTGTCGGTAACGGCTTCTTTGGTCAATGTTACAGTTCCGTTTGTTCTGCTCCTGCACTCCAACTTCACCTTGGCACCTTTTACAAACACAAACACAAAAATGTAAGAAAAAAAACAAAATAAATTAATGTAAACTGTTTGTTCAGAATCAATTGAGAACTTATCATTTGGATGAGTGGATCAAGATCACGGATCAAATTCTCCCTCAAGATCATTTAGTTATATATAAGTATTAGACTCACTACATGTCTAACCAATATAGATTTTAGTAACTGATGTACGAGACATTTGGAAAAATGTTGTCTATTTACATTGCATACATCAACAACGTAACTCATTCAAATTTATAAACTCATATAGTTACTTTACGACATTGCATGCATCCTCTAACATGTTATATATGCGCATACATGATACATGCATGGTAATCTCAAACTATATCAAAACTTTACATATTTTTCTTTTCAAATGCAATGGTTGCACGTGGTACAAAAGCCATGCATGCATGTATATAAACACATATTTACATATACGTAAATATGTGTGTAATGTGTATATGTGTACCTTCTAGGAATTTGCTGAGACGGGTAATGAACTGAACACGGCAAGTGTCACAGTAAACAGATCCCTGGATCTGGAAACGATCCGAGTCATCAGCATCAGCGGCGGCGAAGCCGGCGAGGGAGGACAAACAGATGGCGGAGACGATAAAGAAAGAGAAGAAGATAGCTTTGGAAGCCATTTTTTTTTTTTGTTAGAGATTTTTAAATTTTTTGGTCTTCTCTTCTTTTTGATATCTCTTTTTTATATTCAAACAACAAGTTGAGATATGTTTGAGAAGAGGACAACTATTCTCGTGGCGCACCGAGTTTGGTTTTATATTAGAAACTCGATTGTTATTTTAAGATTGAAACAAACAAGTAAAATCGTTGATTGTTTATTTTCAAAATTAGTTACTATACGTTTAGAATCAAAAGAATGATTAGTTTATTATAGCTTAATTATAGCACTGATTTCTAAATTTGTTTATTGACCACCCTTTTTTCTCTCTTTGGTGTTTTTTTCTTAGAATTAGAAGAACCTATAATTACTAGTAATTTACGGTCAAATCACTGGACAGTACAAAAAGAAAAATGAAAACAATATTTCTAAGTTTTAAATTTGTTCTTTTAATGAAAAACAGTTGATTAAAGCATATATGATGTTCTCTTAACATATATGTCTTTAATAGTATCATGAACATATCATAGTTTTTTCTTGAGAAATTTGCTAAAACTAAAAGGGTATGTCAATATATGTGGATGTGTTGAACACATAATTCTCAATCTATGATAATTCCTATCTGCTGGTCTGGTCCTTGCACAATTAAAGCATGTAAGGCCACACATTCAATTTAGGTGTTTGATGAATTACGAGTGTCTCTGTACTCCTAATGTAGCTAGGCTCAGCTCCACCAAGGGGTTATGGTACTCTTGTTAGATGTGTCATGTGTAATTAGCTTCCTATATACTTTTTAATTTATACCTTCCTATATACTTTATCAACATTATGTAAACATATTTTTTTTAAAGTAAGATTTTATTAGTAGTAAATGACTAAGTTAACGATAATGTTTATAATTGGTATAAAATCTTTCCGTTTTCCTAAACAATTTTTTTTACTTTAGACTTTCGAGTGTCATGTAACTGAGAAAGATGATATTATGCTAATAATCTAATATCATATATTCAATAATCTAAGCTCACTTGTTTTGTTCAAAAATTGAGAAAAATGCATCCACTACATAGTATCTTTTGGCAAAACCGGGTTCTTTTGATTGGTTCTATCGAGAACTAGTTGGGGCAATATTACGTAGTTATATTTGGGCCAAGAAGAGAAGAAGGAGAAAGAGAGACGTACAATTAATCGTTTTGCAAAGGGCAGAAGAAGAAAGGTTTGGGCCGCCAAGTCAACAAAATAGAGTCATACTTGTATTAATTAGTTGATTCTAATTTGTGAAAGTGATTTTTATTCTATTTTGTCATTTCAAGACATGAAATTTATAAGAAATGAAAGTTTGGGTTTACAACGAGAAAATCTGAAAAACATGGTTCCATGCAAAACAAAGAGAATATGAATGTGTCTTACTTATTTTTATGTTATTTTGTGTAAATTAATATATGATTTTGTTTTCTGTGAGAAAACTAATATAATAAAACAAATTTCTAATCATTATATTTGTAACAGTTATTTGTCAATTTTTAATTTAGTCTTTTATTCTTTTTGAACAAAAATTTCAGTTTAGTCTTTTAGACGTTATCACTTGAGCCAAATATTATTTGGATTTAAGTCTAAAATGCAATTTCGTACGTATCCTAATCCCTCTTGTTTTCTAATGACAATTACATATATTTTTTTCGATTATCCCTAACTAGTAACTATACAATTATATTGTATTTTTAAGGAGAAATAGAAACTTTCATAGAGAGATTCAAATAGATGAAATTAGTGGGAAACATCATTGAACAGGAAACTTTAAGCAAATCATATTGATTTATCTACAAAAGAGAATACTTAGCGTAATGAAGTTCACTTGGTATGTGTGTGTGACTATGAATGATTTGATCAAATTAGTTGATTTTGTCGAATCATTTTTCTTCTTTTTCTTGCTTTGATTAATTAAGCTTTTAGCTTGCACGAGTGGTACTCTTTGTAAATGAACGGAATCTTTGAATTCAAATTAGTTAATTAACAAACGAAAAAAAAAGATTCCATACTTTTGATGAGATTAGTGATTATGATGCCTAAAAGGTACCTATGTACATACTGTACGTAACTACTAATTAACAACGTAGTCTACGTTTACTAATTAATTACGATTATAAGTGACTTTTGTTCACTAATAGAAAAATCAAAATCTTTAGCATAAGTCTTTTCTATATATCAAAATAAATAAAACGTTTAGATACACAATCAACAACATATACGCAAAATAAAACATATCTCTGATAGTCTGATAACATAGTGCAACTAAATATAAAAATTCATGCAAAGTGAAGTGAACAAGGCTTGGCTTCAGTTTGATGTAAGAAAAAAAAAAAACAACTTACGTAACCAGACATCAACCATCAGTTAGTTATGTATGAAAGTATGAGATCATTACTTGTAAACTAAAAATGCTTTTGATTTGGATCAGTCACTTCATGTGAACATTACCAATTACATCCAAATATTTTTTCACTATAAAACCCCATCTCAATACCCTTTTGGAGTAATCAAACTAGAACCAAGAATCATATACAACTTTCCTAAAAGCAAAAAAATGGCTTTTAAACTAGCGCAAATCTTTTTCTTGGTCTCTCTAGTTTTATCAACATGTTTCTCCATCACTCTTTCTCGTCCACTCGACAATGAACTCGTCATGCAAAAGATGCACTTCGACTGGATGACTAAGCACGGCCGCGTCTACGCTGATATGAAAGAGCAAAAAAATCGCTACGCTGTGTTCAAAAGCAACGTCGAACGTATCGAACTCTTGAACAGCATGCCTGCCGGAAGAACGTACAAACTCGCGGTGAACCAGTTTGCTGATCTAACCAATGACGAGTTCCGTTCAATGCACACTGGTTACAAAGGAGTCTCGTCTTTGTCTAGCCAAAGCCAAACTAAAACGACGTTGTTTAGGTACCAAAACGTTTCTTCTGGTGCTTTACCCACATCTATCGACTGGAGGACAAAAGGAGCTGTGACCCCTATCAAAGATCAAGGCAGTTGTGGTATATATATCAAATCTTTATTCATATAATGTTTTTACAACGTACTCTATGATATTTTGCTATGTTTTTATTTTGTTTCATACCATATTATTGAGATAGTATATGTTGTTACGGGTTATACAACATGAGAATATTAATGATGGTGACACTAATGAGTGACGTTTTGGTTTTGTGATTAGGATGTTGTTGGGCGTTTTCAGTGGTTGCGGCTATTGAAGGAGCAGCTCAGATAAAGAAAGGTAAACTTATCTCTTTATCCGAACAACAGCTTGTGGACTGCGACCCAAACGATTATGGCTGCGAAGGTGGTTTGATGGATACCGCGTTTGCGCACATAAAGGCGACGGGTGGCTTAACAACTGAATCAAATTATCCTTACAAAGGAGAAGATGCTACTTGTAACTCCAAAAAGACCAGTCCAAAGGCAACTACTATCACAGGTTTCACTTTTACCCGACCATATAACCAAAAGTAAATATAGTGAAAATAAGTTTATATTAAGTCTAGGTAACATATCCATCATATCATAGGTTATGAGGATGTGCCGGCTAACGACGAGAGCGCACTGATGAAGGCAGTGGCACACCAACCAGTAAGCGTAGCAATTGAAGGAGGTGGTTTTGCTTTCCAATTCTATTCGTCCGGTGTGTTCAGTGGAGAGTGCACTACGAATCTTGATCATGCAGTGACTGCGGTCGGATACGGTGAAACTACGAATGGATCAAAGTATTGGATCATCAAGAACTCTTGGGGAACAAAGTGGGGAGAGAGTGGATACATGAGGATTCAGAAAGATATCAAGGATAAGCAAGGACTATGTGGTCTTGCTATGGAAGCTTCTTACCCTACTATATGAAATTCAAAACCGGTTCGGTTATCCGGTTTAGCTTTTAATTGTGTATTTGCGTGTACGTGGGATTTATGTATAAAAATAATCTGGATAGTTTATGTAAAAACAATTTGTATTCAGACTGTTGTATGTATTTTCTGGAATTGTAACTATAAATTTATCATGTGATGCAAAAAGATTGTTACTTTGGAAACATTTCTTTCAAATCAATTATGACACTCTTGCCTAGGTTGCATGAAAACTTTTTTAACGTCCGTCTTTTTGTTTCTAAAACGTTTTGAAAACAAAAACTTTTGAAAACACACTATTTGTTACGGAAACATATTTTTAAATTTTTCAGTTTTGAAAACACGATAGAAACTCACGTTTCATAACTTATATTTTCAATTTAGAAACACAATAAACAAATTTTGATTTTCTTTTAGTTTATAATATATAGAGTATTTACTTTTATACAGTTATGTAATTTAAATACAAATATACAAGAATATATGATATATAAAAAATCTAATTTATGGATTTGAGAGTTTTATTTATTTATAATTAAACTATTAATTAGTATTTATATTTTAGATTAAATTTTTGTTTTAAATATTTTTTCTTACTATGGTTTTAATTTTTTTTTAAACATATCCATATCATAATTTCACAAAAAAACCGTTTCTCGATCGTTTCTGAAATATTTCGCTTATGTATACCTGTTTTCGTTTTCATGCAACATAGTGAGGCATATACATAATCAAATTCCACTGGATTAAAATGATAATTTGATAAGAAATTAACATTTGAGTTTTCTAATAAACAAAAGTTTAAGATGTCTAATTGTGAAGTACTTTAGATTTGACATTATCTGAGATATATATTGACATCGATTTGCCATTATCTGAACCGTCCAATATAAACAATTTTTAATTAAAATCCTAAACCGGTTTTGGTTTGCTTAGATTTGAAGGCGACCCGACCAGAATTGACTCTGTTCCTTGCACGACTCCTCTTTCTCTCTTCTCTCCGTCATCGTCTTCTTCTTCTTCATCTTCTTCTTCTTACACTAATTGACTCTTCTCATAACAAATTTACAATCTCTCAGAGAGATAAGATCAGCCATGGCTGAGAAAGAACCAACCATACTTCAATTCGCTACATTGAACAGTTCCGTCCAGGAAGGTTTCTGGCATAGCTTCTCCTCTTTGAAACTCGATAAACTCGGAATCGACGATTCCCCGATTTCAATCACCGGTAAATCCAATTCATTGATTTTATTACATTAATATTGGTGTATTAGTTTCTGGGCAAGTTCTCATTATGCGTTTAGGTTAGAGAAACCAAAAAAGTTGAAAACTTTGAAATCCTCTGTTTTTGGATCATTAATATCAATTCAGATTTAGGTTTCCTCTGTTTTTGTTTTTGGATCATTAATGTGCTTTTTGTTTTTGGGCATTGGAAATTTCAGGTTTTAATGGACCATGTTCACATCCAAAAGTCTCAAATTATTTGACTCTTTTGTCAGAGTCATTGCCTTTAGATGAAGAATCATCTGCTGCTAGTACTAGCAATAGGAATAAGTGTCCTGTTCCTGGGATTTTGTATAACACCAATACTCTCGAAAGCTTCAAAAACCTTGACAAACAAAGTCTGCTCGAAGCAGAAGCAAAGAAGGTTAATACAAAGCTTACCTATGAGTTTTGGTTCTTATCTGTTCTTTTATGGAGATTTCTAACAATTTTGTTGGTGAATTTTAGATTTGGGATGATATTCAATCAGGGAAAGCTCTTGAGGACCCTGCTGTGTTATCAAGATTCCTTGTTATCTCCTTTGCAGACCTTAAGAACTGGATTTTTCGATATTGGGTTGCCTTCCCTGGGCTTGTTCTTGATCCTCCTGCAAGTTTGGTAGAATTAAAGCCAGCTTCAGAGTATTTTAGTTCTAAAGAGGCGGAATCAGTATCTGCTGCTTGTAACGATTGGCGCAACTCAGATTTAACTACCGGTACTTCAACATTCTTGTTGTAGTTATGTACTATTTAAGTTCAGTTAGTGGTAGCTGAGAGTATCTGTTATGTATCCTTGTGTCTTGCTGTAGCTGTTCCATTCTTTTTGGTTTCGGTTTCTTCTGATTCGAGAGCTAGTATCAGACATATTAAAGACTGGGAAGCGTGTCAAGGTGATCATCAAAAGGTAATGTGTAACTAAGTCTTTAATATATGTAAAAAACCAGAAAGAAATTTCACCTTTATCTATGTTTCTTCCTGCAGTTGCTTTTCGGTTTCTATGATCCATGTCACCTTCCTAAATATCCTGGTTGGCCACTTCGAAATTACTTAGCACTTATTCGCTCAAGATGGAACCTTGAGACAGTTCGGTTCTTCTGCTACAGAGAGAGTCGTGGTTTTGCTGACTTGAACCGTTCCCTTGTTGGTCAAGCCTTAGTTACACTTTCATCAGGAGAATCAGCTGAGACTGTACCTAATTCAGTGGGATGGGAGTTTAACAAAGGGAAACAAGTACATCGATCCATTAGCCTTGCTAATTCCATGGATCCAAAAAGGTACAATCTTTTTGCTGTTTGTCAATGATTTAGCCAATTAAATGGGGTTTTAAAGAAATTGATTACCTCCATTCGCAGGATGGCTGTTTCAGCTGTTGATTTAAACTTAAAGTTAATGACATGGCGAGCATTACCGTCTCTTAACTTAACCATTTTGTCCTCTGTCAAATGCCTTCTTCTTGGTGCTGGTACATTGGGTTGCGAAGTTGCTCGTATCCTTATGGTATGTATACAAGATCGTTCAAGATCAAACAATTTTACGAACTCACGGAATAATTAAAATCTTCTATATCTTTCTCTTTCTTTAGGGTTGGGGAATACGCAATATCACCTTTGTTGACTATGGTAAAGTAGCTACGTCCAATCCAGTCAGACAATCTCTCTACACGTATGAAGATTGTGGCGAGTTTAAAGCGGTTGCTGCTGTTAAACGCCTTAAACAGATATATCCAGCAATGGAATCTAGTGGAGTTATTATGGCTATACCGATGCCTGGGCATCCAATTTCTAGCCAAGAAGAGGATTCTGTTCTCGCAGATTGTAGACGTCTTATCGATTTGATTGAGTCTCACGATGCCGTGCTCTTGTTAACCGATACAAGAGAAAGCCGGTGGTTACCTTCTCTTCTTTGTGCTAATGCCAATAAGGTAATTAAACTCTGTTTCTTTCTTTCTATCTTGCTGGTTATATACGTATAACTAACAATTTGCTTGACACGTTGGTGTTTGATTTGAATTTCAGATAGCTATAAATGCAGATTTCGGTTACGACAGCTACATGGTAATGCGCCATGGCGCTGGCCCCACCTCCCTGTCTGATGATTTGCAGAATCTTGACATGAATAAGACAAACAAACAGAGGCTTGGATGTTACTTTTGTAACGACGTGGTTGCACCTCAGGATGTAATTCCCTGGCTTCTTTGGTTTTGATTTTTCCTTTTGTTTTGTGATAATTCCGGTTCAGTTCTGATTTTTCGTGGCCTGCTCTTTTCTTGTATTGCAGTCAATGACTGATCAAACTCTAGGCCAACAATGCACTGTTACACGTCCAGGTCTAGCTCCTATTGCAGGAGCTCTTGCCGTTGAACTTTTAGTCGGAGTCCTACAACACCCACTTGGGTAAGTCTTTTGGAAATTGAATACATTGAAAATCTAATGCTCAGGCTTATAGTCTTGCATATGTTTATTACAGTATCAATGCAAAAGGCGACAATTCGAGCTCAACTAATGGAGGAAACAATGATGATTCGCCTCTCGGGATATTACCTCATCAGATTCGTGGTTCAGTTTCTCAGTTCTCAAAGATCACCCTGCTTGGGCAAGCTTCCGACAGCTGTACCGCTTGCTCTGAAACCGTAATTCTCTACATGGAAAACTTTTCTAGCAGGACCAAGCTCACGCAAAGCTCATAACGTTTTTTAACATTTGTATTCAGGTGATATCGGCGTATCGAGAGAGAGGAAACAGGTTCATACTTGAAGCAATTAACCATCCTACATACCACAGCCCAATCACCAAAAAAGACACGAGATGTTTTCCTAGTAATGTTGTACGAGCATTACCGTCTCTTAACTTAAATGTTTTGTCCTCTATCAAATGCCTTCTTCTTGGAGCGGGTACATTGGGCTGTCAAGTTTCTCGTACCCTTATGGTATGTATCGAAGAGAGTTTCAGATCAAACAATTCTACAAACTCACTGATTAATTAAAGTCTTTTCTATCTTTCGTTCTTTAGGATTGGGGAATCCGCAATATCACCTTTGTTGACTATGGCAAAGTAGCTATGTCTAATCCAGTCAGACAATCTCTCTACACTTTTGAAGATTGTGGCGAGTTTAAAGCTGTTGCTGCTGTTAAAAGCCTTAAACAGATATTTCCAGCAATGGAATCTAGTGGAGTTGTTATGGCTATACCGATGCCCGGACATCCTATCTCTCGTAAAGATGAGGATTCTGTTCTCGCAGATTGTAAACGTCTTAGCGAGTTGATTGAATCTCATGATGTCGTGTTCTTGTTAACCGACACAAGAGAAAGCCGGTGGTTACCTTCTCTTCTTTGTGCTAATGCCAATAAGGTAACTAAACTCTGTTTCTTTCTTTCTGTCTTGCTGGTTATAAAAGTATAAGTAACAATTTGCGTGATATGTCGGTGTTTGATTTGATTTTCAGATCGCTATAAATGCAGCTTTAGGTTTCGACAGCTACATGGTAATGCGCCATGGCGCTGGCCCCATCTCCCTGTCTGATGATACGCAGAATCTTGACATGAATAAGACAAACAAACAGAGACTTGGATGTTACTTTTGCAACGACGTGGTTGCACCTCAGGATGTAATTCCCTGGCTTCTTCGGTTTTAATTTTTTTTTTTTTTTTGTGTTACCTCTGGTTCATTTCTGATTAGTCGTGACCCGCTCTTTTCTTTTATTGCAGTCAATGACTGATCGAACTTTAGACCAACAATGCACTGTTACACGTCCAGGTCTAGCTCCTATTGCAGGAGCTCTTGCTGTTGAACTCTTAGTAAAAGTCCTACAACACCCACTTGGGTAAGTCTTTTACAAATCAAATACATTGAAAATTCAATCCTCAGGCTCATTTCGTCTTACATATGATTACTACAGTATCAATGCAAAAGGCGAAAATTCGAGCGTAAGTAATGGAGGAAACAATGATGATTCGCCTCTCGGGATATTACCTCATCAGATCCGAGGCTCAGTTTCTCAGTGCTCACAGATCACACTGCTTGGGCAAGCTTCCGAAAGCTGTACTGCTTGCTCTGAAACCGTAAGTTTCCACATGATAACTTCTTTGAACAGAATCAAGCTCTCGCGAAGCAGCTCATAACGTTTCAACTTTTATTATATTCAGGTGGTGTCAGAGTATCGAGAGAAAGGAAACAGTTTCTTACTTGAAGCTATCAACAAACCTACATACCTCGAGGATCTTACCGGTTTAACCGAGCTAAAGAATGCTGCTAATTCGTTTAACCTCGACTGGGAAGAAGATGATACTGATGATGAAGATGTAGCTGTAGATATGTAAAAACTCAAGATTCATGAACCAAATGTGCATAGACTAATATTGACAAAGATTGTTCTTTCATGAAATAATCATTTTGTTAACTACACAATACAAAACAAAAACATGGTTTATGTAATTAATTCGTAAAGCGGTGGCATTCTGTAGCGGCAGTGCAACCTCGTCGGTATGTGTTATCCGGTTGATCCGGTTTACCACTTGGTTTAGCTGGTTTGTTTTTCTTCATTACATCGTGGCTTATATATCTTGACGCTTCAAGAAACCTACGGTTCACTTCAAAACCTGTTCTCATGTTCTTCATGATGATCTTTTCTTCTCCAACACTGTCAATGCAATTGTGACATTTCACCGGACGAGATCCGACCACCAACGCTGGAAACAAAGCCGCCGAGATGATCACGGAGATGAGCTTCATACAATTCATCATTAAGACTTACGATTTTAGTGGTTTGTCATTAAAACACTTCGATGGAGGGAGTATAACATTAGCAACAAAATGTGGAGTTTGCATTGACCTCGTCCATTGAAGTAAACGAAGTTTGCGTTTGTCCAAATAACAATCTAAGGAGATAAAATGGCTAATAATAGATTTGTTTAAAAATGAAATTGAGACAACTTGTTATATATATAACACACTATGTTCTTTCTTTTATCATTTGTAAACACCATCAATCACTTTGTATCATCTACAATGACTAAGCACATTCAACTCTCGTTCACCATTTTAGTTATCTTCAGCATTTTCGTGCTCGGTATGTATTTACATATTACAAATAATCTATTTTGTGTGTGTGTGTGTGTGAATGCCATGTTATTGTATTGTAATATCAATTCAAAACATCAAATACTTATGCAGTTAAAGAAAAACAAATTTCATTTTCTTTAAATGAAAATAATATTTGTTACTTATAAAATTTGGTTTAATAAATAGGAGTGGTTGGAAATGCGAATCCAGCACCATATGATTGTTCGGAAATTCTGTTTAAAAAGAAGACGTGCCGCTCTCAAGAGTGTGGGGTGATGTGTATCCTGAAGAGGCAAGGGCTAGCGAGTTGCGCCCTCGCCGATGACCAGACAAATTTCGAATGTCGTTGCGCTTATCAATGTCCAAAGTAGAGATAAATTTCATTTGTCATTGCGCTTATCAATGCTCTAAAGTACTTATTTACTATTAACTTTTAAAGTATATTTATAATTTGAAGTAATAATTTCTTAAATTTAGGTTTCATTATATATATATATATCTTAAGGTAAGTGTATTAAAGTAATAATTCTATTGTAAATTTTCAACTATTCTGAATGAATAAGATTTAACTATTACAGAAAGAGTGGATATTTGATTTATCAAACAAATGTTTTTGGTGGGGATTTGTTTGTATAATATTTTTACTTGAAACATGATTTATTTGTATTTATGTAGCAAAAAATGTGATTTTTTTCTCAAAATAGATTTTGTATGTGGATCGAATCGAGTTTATCTAATCCAGTTTATCGAATGGATTAATAAATAAATAATATCACACACACGCACGCACGCACGCACGCACGCACGCACGCATGCACACACACATATATATTAGTTTAGTTTAGTTTTATTAACTCAAATCGACATATAACCTAGTTTAGTTTTAATCCTAATTGTTTAAAAACTAAACTCTACTAATTCTTTTATTAACTCAAATTGACATATAATCTCGCTCAATTGTAAAAACTAAACTCTAATCCCATTTACATACTAACCGGTATATAACATTAGTAAATTGTAAAATATAAACTCTATAATCATTTTTTATAAACCAAAACCGACATATAACTTTGTAAAAATAAAATTCAATGGTACATTTTTTTAGTTTTCTTATATGGATAATGGATAAAATCAAATTTTATTTCATTTGCTTTTAGGTTCACTTATTGGAGTGAACCCTTTATTTTTCCTAAAAGAAGGTATAGTGAAACGGCCAGAGATGAGCCCCGTTGCAATGTGGCGGTAGGCTGCCTCAGTTAAATGGATACCATCCCAATTTGCGTACGTTGATGGATATTCGCAAGTGGTCGATCCCTTTTCTCCACACCTAACGTTTGGTTTTGCATTGTATCTTCCATCTTTTTCACCACAACATGCCTTTAGGACACTTCCAGTGAAACCTATTACAAAAACAAAACAAAAGTATAAAAATGATTGTACCAATATTGAAGTTCTTGTTTCTAAAAAAGAAAAAGAAAATGTCACTACTAGTTATAATATTGAAGTTAAATTACCGTATTTGGCAGGTGAGTTGAAAAATTGCATGGCGGAACTGTAATAATCAGCATACATAATTTTGGCATGAGGGTATTTTAGCCTTAGGGACTCAAGTCCTTTCTTGAGCATATCGTTGTGAAGCTTAGCCACATTGTTCAATGGTTTGTAGCATTGGTTCCTCGAATCATAGAGCCATTTATTATTATCGTTAAACCGCTCTAAGAGAACCGCAGAACAACCGATCGGAAAGTTCCCTGGAACCATCAGTGTTACCGCACCTTCTTCTATCAATGCCTTCAAAATTAAAACCAAAACTCAAAAATCGTTTGCTATATATACACAATGAAACGGATATTAAAGTTTAATGCAAAATGTTTCCTATACTTACACTTGTAACGTTGATGATTTTGTCAATGACGAATGGTGCCAAATCCATTGCATGTTTTAAACTTCGCAATGCTAGAAGTGGGTAATTATAATCGTTTCCACCAATTTCTCCGACCAAAAATAGAGATTTTTTGAAATATTTTTCACATTCTGCGAAAATAAAGTAACTGAGATTATTAATTATGCAAAACATATAAAACCAAATTAAACTTGTATATCTAATTTTAATACCTGGTTTGGTTTTGCACAGAGAAGGTTTCAACTTCTTGAACCAATCAAATTGAACATCAAGTGACTTGTTCGTCACTAACGTTACTAAAAGACCTCTTTTTTTAAAGAAGTCAAACTCGTTCGCCGTTGCTCCAACCACCGCGAAATTTGCTCCTTTCTTGAAATCCACCGTATTGTTCGACCGTACACTCTCGAGATACGGTGTAAGGTATGGTAGTCCACTTGCCTCAGCTGCATGCAAAATTATTTATTTTCTGCTCATAAGTTGTATTTTGCACCGGTAAGTAAAACGAGTTCTTTTTAATGAAATATTTACGTTCTTACCCAAAAAAAAAAGTATCATTTTGCACCAGTATTATCATATATTAAATCGAATTAGATATAACATATGTTTTATGTAATAATAATGTTTTTTAAAGAGGTAAGAAGTGAACCGATGAAGTCGATGATAAGGCGTCCGTCGGAGCAACGACCGGTGGACCGGTTAAAAAAGGTTTGTCCGTAGGGTGGCCTTCCTATGTTCGGAACGTAAGCACCGGTGGATATTAAAAAGTTTCCGGTGTCGCTTAACGAATCTCCGAAATTAAAGATTGACTCAAAGTTTAGAGTTGGTTTCGTCGGCAATGACTCAACGTAGACTAGAAAAGATAATGTCACGATGAACAATACATTGATTCTCATTTTAGTGATCTTTTTTTTCTTAACATTCAAATTAGATAGATTTCTATGTTTAGTTGTTTTCTTTAATGAACATTACGAGTAAGATTTTATACTGAACTGTATAAGAAAGGGATCAAATATAATTAACGGTGATGCGTCAAAGAAGTAATGTTATGAAACGTACATGCATCACATCTTTTTTGTTTTTGTTTTGTAACGTTGTGACTGTTTCTTTTAGTAATAAATAAGCTTTAGTTATAAATCAGAAACTGGCTATGGTTAATTGATATGAAGAAAACACAAGTAACATTATATGGTTTATTGTTGGTTGACACTGAGAGTGGCAGTCACATACAATGTTAAATCAATATCTTATAACATTGTATAAATCAATATCTTATAACATTGTATAACAATATCTTTTAAAATATAATGTCTTACGAATTTCTTATCATAAAACAAAATCAATATCTTATAACATTGTTTGATCATATTGTACTATATATTATATCTAATCACATCTTAGTTATTAGTATATGCTATGATTTTGATTGGTGTCACCTATTAAAATAGTTTGCAAATGAACCAACCATTCAAACTATCACCAACCTATAAGGTGTGATCTGATCTTCTGGATACGATGGTTGAAAACATCAAGTCCAACTACTTAGAAAAACCAATGTTTAGTTGATGTATATAGATGTTGCATATATAGTTTAATTCTTAAAAAAAAATTCGTTGAAATGTGTGATACTAATCTCATATTTTTTTAAAGGGTATTTTACTAATGTATCAATGTGTGTATATGTATTTCTAAGAGTGTATTACACAATAAATCATGAAAGGTCGGTGACTAGTGGGTGAAAGCATTTAGTGCATCTACTTTTATTTTATTTAATTTCCCCCCAATATAATAAGCCTTTCCTTGATGACTTCAGCAAAAACCACTAACACTACCACTTCATCTTAACATAATAATTTCTCAAGAACCACAGAGAAGAAGAACTTGTAGTAAGAAGAACAGGTCGAAGAAGATGACGAGACAGAAGATTTTTCTCTTTGGTGATTCAATCACTGAAGCATCCTTTAGTGTCGGTGGCTGGGGCGCTTCTCTCGCCGATCTTCTTTGCCGCAAGGTATAAATTTATATATACATATGTTACATCTATTTATATATTTTATAAAGATTCATAGGTTTTGATTGATAAATCTTTGAATCATCCAGCTGACCTACTAGCAACAAAAAAAATATTCCTTAACAATAGTCTTATTAGTTCCATTTCTTTTGCCAATGTCGAATGCTTTATATTGTAATCATTATTCATTTACAATAATATGTATATATATATATATATAAATATATACATATCTTCACATGCTTTACCAATATATTGTGAAAATCATTTACAGTATTATATTAATGAAAAACTTACTACAAAAAAAGAAAAGAATGTATTCACTCCTGTTTTGAGATGATAAGTTACTTTTTAAAACTCTTTATATAAAAAATTTTATTTTCAAAATTTAAATGAATATTGTTCATTAAAATAGCTAACTATGCAAATTTTGGTAGTTTAATTAAGAGAAAGAAAAAAAATTAATATTTAAAACATCCATATTTGTTTTATATAAAAGAGAAAAACATCCATATTTGTAACCTTTTTCAACCAAAAAAAAAACATAGACAAAGTGAAGTTTTCTTACGTTTAAATGATTATTATAAGAATTTTGTATAATTTTCATGTTCGTATTAATATTAAAATCACAATTACGTCTTAATCTTACTAACGCTTTTGAGTATATTAAATTTTTATTAGGCTGATATGGTGCTACGAGGATACAGTGGGTATAACACGAGGTGGGCTTTGAAAGTAGTGGACAAAGTTTTCCCGGCGGGAAAAGAAGACGGCGGAGAATCACCGGCAGCCGTGACTGTATTCTTTGGAGCGAACGACGCGTGTCTGCCGGAGAGATGCTCGGGGTTTCAACATGTGCCACTTCACGAGTACAAGCACAATCTTCGCTCCATTGTTTCGTTTCTCAAGGTGATCATTAAAATCTTGCACATGCATATTTAATAAATATTTATAATATGAAAATGAATTGTATAATTTGTTTGAGAAAGTGAACTGGGTAATAATTCATGTTGGATAATTTTTTTTATTTTAAATGGATGGCAAATAACAAATTATTTAACATAAAATGGATTATTTGCATGTCTTAAATATTTATTATGTTTTTTTTTTCGATAACATGTGTTTTTTACTTTGTATCACACAATTTGTTTATGATTTTACCATAGGACATATAACATGCTTTTCTTAAACTGTATTATGCAATTTATTCTAATTACATGCGAATTTAGTTTATTTCCGTTTTCACCGTCTCTTTGTTTTTCTAATTTTGCAAGAAACTTTGGTTAGTAAGCCCTAAAGTTGAGTGTGTGCATCATATAAATTGAGCATGCGCATATATATATATTTAATAATTTAGTTTTTATTTGTCATTCTAATATTATAATGAAGTTTTTTTGTAGATTGTAATCATTTGTGGTCAAATTGCTAAAGTTAAGTGGAAATAAAATCAGTACTTGACCACAAAAAGCTGAATAAATAGAAGAGAATAAACTAATTACGTGGATTACATTTAAAAAAATGTTTATCATTAATTAGCTTCTATTTTTTGTTTGTCGAATGGTACTATTATAGGTTATAAACACTAATCTATTGAACTATATAAAATGTTGTCTTTTTGACTAAAAGACCAAAACTTTGATCATATATATCTTCTTTTGGGAAAGTAAACTTTAGAAACACCAAATGTATACACTTTGTCGAACCACTAAGTGGAAACATTTTTTATACATTTCTTCTTTCTAAATTTTATAAATGAATTTATTTATTTTTTTGTTATAATTTCAGAAGCGTTGGCCACAAACGGCCATTATTCTCATAACTCCGCCTCCAATACACGAAGAGGCCCGCCTCAGGTGCTGAGTCCTTTAACTTTCTTGTCTTTCACTATTTGGTCCCAAAGTTTGTTTTCTCCAAAATCTACCAATCTATCATTTCACTCACATGTTTATTATTTTGACCACATCTAATTAAGACAATATGATCTTGACATTTTTATTTAAGACAATATGATCTTGACATTCTTAGATATCCTTATATCGAAAACACGACGGGATTGCCTGAAAGAACAAACGAGGTAGCGGGACGATACGCGAAAGCATGTGTAGAAGTAGCCGAGGAATGTGAAATCTCGGTCATTGATCTTTGGTCGAAAATGCAGCAAATTCCGAATTGGCAAACAGAATGTCTATGGTACGTCATACACTAACCCTTGCATACACATAGTGTATATGATGTGTTTTTAAGATTGATTCATAAATTTTATTTTATGTTTGTGTGTTTCTTGAATTTTTAGGGACGGGTTACATTTGAGTCGGGTTGGTAACAAAGTAGTGTTTGAAGAAGTAGCAAATAAACTTAAAGAAGAAGGCATTGGAGCTGATGACTTAGCCGTGGATCTTCCCCTTATAGAAGATGTTGACCCAAACGATCCTCTCAAAGCCTTTGATGAGTTTTGATGCTTTATATTATCATCATTTAGTTTGGATTAATAACCTTCTTAACGACATTAGTTTGGAATAATATTCTTCTGAATGATATTAATTAAACCAATGATATCGAACTATATTCACATTTTCCTTTGTTTTTTGTGTGTGTGTGTACTACTCTATAAATAGTCTAGTTTACATAGTTACAAACATATGAGATGACTTCTGCTAGGCTGGTACACAGAAGTGCCAAATTCTTATTACCATAAATTGATGGTCATAGTACCTCAGTTATAATTAGCAAATTTATCTCAACTGACAAACAAGAAACCGTAAAAATAAACATAGATGTTTTTTTTTATTAATACACAACAAAAGGAGATCTAAACATCTTCACCAAAAGAAAAAAATGAAAAATCTCAAAATCTTCCTAATTGTTTGTAGCTTTTGTATGTTTGGTTATGTATCCAGCGCTGGAATCAGGATCGTGAACGAACTCAAAAATAAGAAAACTCTTTGGATAAGATGCTATTCCAAAGACGACGTATTAGGTCCAACAATAATACCAAACGGAGGACATTTTACAGATTATTTCTTTCATAATCTGTTTGGCACGACACGTTTCATGTGTACCTTAAAACAAGGACCTGGATTTAGACACAACCAGAGTTTTAGAGCATTTAAAAAATCTGGCTTATGGGATTGGAGAGCAAGAGATGATGGAATCTATTTAAGAAGAATATATAAGTCGAGATTTGATGATGGTGTAGAGAATTTACGTAAAGAACAAGATTGGATATATTAAAACATTAACAAGCTTGGATTACTCTTCCTTAAGACATCATATATTATATAAAAGAAAGTTTCATTATCTTTTTATTAATTTGTTTTACATGACAATTCATTTTTTTATATAAATTGAAAAATAACACTAATTTATGTGTACAAATTTCTTTTTGGACTATGCCTAATGTGGTTTCTAAGAGGGAAAAAAAAATTCAATAATTTTTAATCATAATGTATCTATAATATTAAAAGACTACATAATTAGATTTATGTGCTATCAACGAAGAAAGAGTTATTAATGGTATGTGCTATCTACCAAGGGGGTTTTGATTTTAAAGGATGTTTTTTTAAAAATTTGTCCTTTTAGGCTTTCTGCGGTAAATTGTCAGTTATACCTAAATTACCCTTTTAAATAAATAAAATTAATTTTTAATTAATTTTTAAATTAAAACATATCAACAATTAAAGATTAATAAGATTTAATGTTAAACAAAAGAGTTTTGGATGAAAGTATGTTGATTTTGATATTGAAAAAATCATTCTGCAATATTTAGAATACATCTTCTGTATTCTAAATATTTTAGATTATGAATTCTGCACACTCTACATGTTCTAAAAATTGTAGATTACAAATTCTTCGCATTGCACTTGTTCTGAAAATTTTAGAATATATATATCTTCTAAAAAAATTAGAACTCAGGTTTGGTTGGTGTTCTACAAAATTTGGAATATGTATTCTACATGTTACTCTATATTCTACAAATTTTAGAATTTATTTTCTACACTTTACCCTATATTCTGCAAAAGTTAGATCATCAATTCTACACTTTACTCTTCGTTCTTCATATTTTAGAAAATGTATTCTACGAATTTTTAGAACTATCTTATACAAGGAAATTGAATCCTAAATTAAAGGAAACAAAATATTTTGTATTCCCTAATATCTCGAAATCATATATTTTTATTTTGAGTGAACGTTAGGTGTATATACAGTCCTTGAGTTTGACCAAAAATTAAAAACTAACAATATCAAAGAGCTAGTCTCAAACAATCTTCCTAGTTTAGGTTTGATAATCACGAACAAATGAAGTTTTTATTTTTCAGAAAATTTTGACATCGTCGAGTCTATCTTTGGTTTTTAATGAGAAGAGTTTTTTTTTTAAAAGGAAAAATAATATATGTTTTTGATTTTTTTAGATTTAAGAATATCTTTTTTTTCTTACAGAAAATTTCCTAATTTGATGTTTTTTTTTTCAAAAAGTTTGATGTTTATTTCCATATAATTTAAGTAAGGATATAATTGAGCATTTTCCTATTCTAAAACCTAATATACCAAACTTAAAAAAAGAAGGCATAAATGGACAAATTTAAAAAAAAACATCCTTTAAAATCAATTTTCCTATCTACCAATTAACTTCATATTTGATTTCTTTTTATTACGATTTAAATGCAGCAAGCTAAAATTTCTTTTCACAAAACGTAGCATTAAACCGAATGTTTTCAACTCTAACTCTGAAATGAAACTGGATGTTCTGAATCTTCACAATTTAAATATAGAATTTGAAAGCAAGAAATTGAAGATTCTTTTTTTAACGAGGCTGTACTTAGGCTAGAACATGATGAACATGACACATGTTCGAAACCGAACTAAAATGTAAGTTTGCCAAATGAACTATTCAATGAGCTACATAATATTGGGTACTTTTCTTTCTCATTTATGGAATGATTTTGTCTCCCTCTTTCGGATTATGTACACTCGTCTGTCTCGCATGACAGAGATAATGAGACAGACAACAGATGCGAGTGCTTTCTAAGGTTTGATTGGTAAGGATAAGTACACTTCACGAGGAGCTAAGATCAATTCTATTTGTAATCAAGTCTTGCGTATTGGTATAAAGATCATCACCAATGTCAAAACATTGTTTATACCAATACGCAAGACTCGATTGCGAATAGAAGTGATCATAGCTCTTCGTGAAATGTCTATCAATTGCATCTTTGTCTCAAATCTTGGGAAGGAAATGTAGAGATGTTTGAGATAATGGGACTTGGGACAACTTGAAGATGGGAAGCATCTGTTTAGTGGCTTCCCATCTTCCTAGGCTTGTTCTTGCAGATTCTCTTTTCCTCGGTGTCTTCTCTTGTTCTCTTGGTTTTTGCTACATTAACCAAAACATTCCAATCTTAGCAAATATGGTTCGCAAAGTGAAAGTAAGAGACAACTTAATCCCAATTTTCGTTTTTGCTCTAAACCCATAAGAAAACCCAACTCTAAATTTCTTATTAACCTAACGATTAAGCACATATTGGACATATGAGGATGTAAGGTTGAGCTATAAGATAGCCATTAAACTTCATCATAGCACAAGAACTAGCAAACAAAGCCATTAAAATCGGATTCCCTTATCAATTTATAAAGCATGGCCGATTTAGCATAGTGGTGAAAAATCAAACTCTCAAGTTGCAAATAAAATAGCAATTAAGCATCATAATAAACAAGCTTCCTAACCTAGTCTAGACTTAGAGAACCAAGCACTAATTCTCTTAACTTACATAAGATCATATAAATACAAATTCCATGTGTATACTTACTTGGAAAAATCCCAAAGTTTCAAACTTTTTGCATTCCACCGTTCAAAAACGCTTCCTCACTTTTCCGGCACTATGTAACCCGAGATCTGTAAAAACGTAAACGCATAGAAGAATCAAAACAGAGTATAACGAGAAAGAGATTTCGAGTCTATAGAAAGAAAAAACATTAAAAACCCAGAAAGCGTTAAGAATCATATGATAAAAGGAGAAGCTTTGATTTCGAACTTACTTTGAAAATTTTCTTCTTTTTGAATGATGATTTGATTTGTTACAGTGACGAACAAAAACAGAGACTTTTTTTTTTGCACAACAAGGAAAAAAAAAACAGAGACTTTTGAACTGGAATGGTTTTCTAAAAAACGTTATTAGGGTTAACACTTAAGGATGTGCATATTTATAGAATCAAAACTCAGAAATTTAGCCGTTTTAAAAGTTACCGTTAATCACAACGGCTAATTCATTCAACGGCTAACTCTATGAAGTGACCAAAACTCGAAACCATAATAATTTTCTCTGATCACTCAATACGACGCCGTTTTAGAAACAAAAATTGATGGATCTCTTATACATATATATTGGGCCTTTTATAATTACAAGCCCATTAAATTGCCCGTTAAATGTAAAAGTGGGAGAATCTACGAATCTCCTCTTCTCTATCTACTTATCCTCTAACACAAAACGAATTCTCAAAGAGAAAGAGACGAAGTCAGAGAGCTCAGCTCACTAACAATCAATGGCGTCTCTTCTCAGAGCATCTCCTTCTACTACAGTCTTAACTCGCCCTCGTCTTTCTTCTCCTTCCTCATCATCTTCAATCTCCCCTGTCTGCTTTGGACCAGGTTTGAACCTTTTTTTTTTACCCTTTAAAAAAGCTCTTTTTATAAAGTAAGCATTTTTATCTGTTCATTGCATAGGTTTCAAAGTTCAATCATTTCTCAACAGTGAAGCTTAATTAGAAAATAGTTCAATTTCAGGTTTTTTGGTTGATGTTTGCTTTTGTAGGGAAATTTTGTGGAAGAATCGAATTGAAGCCTAAGAAGAACAGAACTCGTTACCATGTTTCTGTTATGAATGTCGCCACAGAGATCAACTCTATCGAACAAGTATGAGTATTTTTTTAACCTTGTTGTTCATAAAGCTTGAATCTTGGAATGAGTCTAGACCTTAAGTCATTTTGTATGTATTGGTTAGTAGTTTAGAATTACCACTGTTGGCTAAGAGTATGGTTTTCTCGGTTTGTAGGAAAAGAAGTTTGATTCAAAGGAAAGTGCGAGGCCGGTTTATCCGTTTGCGGCTATTGTAGGACAAGATGAGATGAAGCTATGTCTTTTGTTGAATGTGATTGACCCTAAGATAGGCGGTGTGATGATAATGGGAGATAGAGGAACCGGTAAATCAACAACCGTTAGATCGTTAGTTGATTTGCTTCCTGAGATCACGGTTGTTGCTGGTGATCCGTATAACTCAGACCCTAGAGATCCTGAGTTTATGGGAAAGGAAGTTAGAGAGAAAGTTCAGAAGGGAGAACAGTTGCCGGTTATCGAAACCAAAATCAACATGGTTGATCTTCCTTTAGGTGCTACTGAAGATAGAGTTTGTGGGACAATTGATATCGAAAAGGCTTTAACTGAAGGTGTTAAGGCGTTTGAGCCGGGGCTACTTGCGAAAGCGAATAGAGGGATTCTATATGTCGATGAAGTTAATCTCTTGGATGATCATTTAGTTGATGTTCTTCTTGATTCGGCTGCATCGGGTTGGAACACTGTTGAAAGAGAAGGGATTTCGATTTCTCACCCTGCTCGGTTTATCCTAATTGGTTCAGGAAATCCAGAAGAAGGAGAGCTTAGACCACAGCTTCTTGACCGGTTTGGTATGCATGCGCAAGTAGGGACTGTTAGAGATGCGGAGCTAAGAGTTAAGATTGTTGAAGAGCGAGCTCGTTTTGATAGTAACCCGAAGGAGTTTCGAGAATCTTATGAAGCAGAACAGCTGAAGCTTCAGGAGCAGATTACAACTGCAAGAAGCAATCTTTCTGCAGTTCAGATCGATCAAGATTTGAAAGTGAAGATCTCAAAGGTCTGTGCTGAGCTGGACGTTGATGGATTGAGAGGAGACATAGTGACAAACAGAGCAGCTAGAGCACTTGCCGCACTCAAAGGAAGAGATCAAGTTACTGCTGAAGATGTCGGTATCGTTATACCAAACTGCTTAAGACACAGACTCAGAAAAGATCCGTTGGAGTCTATGGATTCAGGAATTCTCGTTACCGAGAAGTTCTACGAAGTTTTCAGCTAGAGTAAATACAGATTCTTGAAACACATTTAACATATGCTTCTACACACTGAGAAGATTCGATTTGTAACCCTTATTATACATGAAAGTTTCATTTTTTCAATAAGATGAAGTCAAGAATCAATTGCGATGATTCCAGAATCTTGGCTTACGTTCTTCAAACTCTGGTAATCTCTGATAAACAATGGAGGCAACTCTTATCAGAATACCAGCAGTGATTGCCCATATGATAAAGTTTCTCTCTTTATCTTCGGAATAGTAATCGAAGTACTGAAGAAGATACTTATGCCCTTCGTGCTCTCGTTCCTCCGCTCGCCTATTCTTGTCCTGTGTAAAACCCGACAGAAGAGAGTCATTAAAGATTATAAGTTGGTGATGGAGTATAACCAGAAACAGGGGGAATCAGTTTAAGAACCTTCAGGAACATCTCTAATGGAACATCGAAGATTTCTTCCACTTCAGCTGGATTTGGTAACGGTCTAAACGCTTTCTTATCGAGTAGGAAACCGATAACTGGTACAACCAACATTCCCTTCTGCAAATCCGTAAACCCGATAAACCAATCTAGTAACTTGAAACATAGATGTTTTGATGCAGTTTTACCTTGTTAACAAATGGTTCAAGAACAGAAATGATTGTAACAAGAGAAGGATCTAGACCGATTTCTTCACGAGCTTCTCTCAACGCAGTAGCTACATCATCTGAATCTTCTTCGTCTCTTTTTCCTCCAGGCAATGCTACCTCCCCTGTTTTTTTATTTATTTAGCAAGTTCCTCTGTTTCTGGTTAAAAGATGAAAACTTTACTCTATGAAAAAACTGTCTTGAGAGAGATTTTGATCTTACCAGGATGAGAAGAGAGAGTAGAGGAGCGTTTGGTTAAGATTACTCGTAGCTCATTCTTGTCTTCTCTTTGTTCTTGGTATAGACAAACTAAGACAGCTGAAGATTTTGCAGGAGGATGTGGTAGAGGATGAGGTTTGTAATTTTGAAACCGTTGGATAAGATTTTGCAATTCTGTAGAATCTGTTGTTGTTGAAGACATATTCGAATCAGAGACCTTGACACAGTTGAATGACTATTCTTCTTCTTCTTCAGATCTGAATAAAGCGACCTTTGTTTTGATAACAGATCCAGATTCTTCATTTACAACTAAACATGAAATCTGACTTGTTAGGGAGTAGATAACAAATTAATTAGTAAGATCTCTTATAATAAAAGTGAATTTGCTCAATTCAAACTAACCACATCAGCTACCATTTCATTCATTTTACTTTTCACAAATAGATTCATCAAAAATGTTTACCATTCTAGTTATAATTACTAAACAATATCAGTTTTTGATACTGAGATCACAACATTACCATTGATAATTTGTGTGAGCAGTTAACCGATTTGAACCAAACCATCCAATTAAGCTTTTCTTTAACCTTAACGGTTTGGTTTAAAACCGAACCTGATCAAAAACCGGACCGGCTTATTTTAAAAGTATTAATTAACTGACTACCATGAATAGTAATTACTAAAATATAGTAAATAGTTTACTGTGGAAGATTTGGTTAGGTTTCGAATGTTTGACACATAATAGATTAGCTCAAACAAATCAATTGTGGGAACATTATTTACATAGGTGAGATAATATAGTTTGGTACAAACTTTTCAAACCAAATTATACGTTTTTACATTTACATTACAAAAATTTTAAATTATTAATATCTTAGGACATTTAAAACAATAAGATTTCCCAACTTGCATCTTTCTAAAATTCTAAAATCACCTACCATGTTGGTTTTAAAAGAAAATATTTCATTAAATCAATAAGTATTATTTATCAGTTATTTACACTTCAATAAATTAATTTAAAAAAAATATCAGTGTCCTATGAAATCATTGTCAACAGCATACATTATTGCAAACTTAAATTTGATGACAACAGATCAATGGTACTATAAATCACACTCACTAAATTTATATATCATTGTTAATTTATATAAATATACCAATTTCCTTATTAATATTTAGCAATTCTGTTCTAGATATAAAAAATTAAACATGTTATTCTACTGATATTCTTAAAAGATTATCTTCTTTTCTGTAAATAATTCAGTTCTGTAATAAATTGCAAATTATACGAGTGAGACTAGACAGTGGCTCGTGAGAGAGCAAGAGATGGGTGATGTGTCTAATAAATATAGGTCACTCAACCACATAATCTTGCGAATCATTCTACTCTCTCTATTTAAAGTTATCTAGCAATTAAATGTCACCTACATTTGTATTAACTTGTAGCATTCTACTCTGTCTATTTTCTTGAAATTTTTTGCTTGGTTCATAGAATTATCTACCAAAAAGTTGGGATTTATCATAATAATAGACTCATGAATAATCTATTTTTAATACATAAGTTTCTAACAAACAAACCTATGATTTAGCGTAGTACGTTTCATTTAAACCGGAAATCAAAACAGTTTATACGACGAATCGACGATTTTTTTTGGTTGAACTATTGGTATGTGGTAAGGAATTCATATAAATTATTCAGGTCCAAAAATAACATTATCTTTCTTATTTTTGAACCATTTATATGTTTTTTTCAAGTATTTAAAAAGTAAGAAATGATATTTCAATTTATTCTCCGAAATGCATTAAATATATTGACCCGACCTTGTGTGTGTGTATATGTGTAGACAGACAGACACTAATAGTTGAAAAAGATCGACTATGACAATTAGTACTTATGAGTAGGGACTCTAATTAATTCTCCGGCAAAGATATAAGTCCATTCTCTAACTGTTATGTTCGACCACGTTTTAGGTCACCTAAACTATTTGGTCACTAATAACAAAGTCAATGTCTACATCCTTTATTAGTTTTGTTAATGTTTATTCTCTTTACATTTGGTATGATCACTCATTATATATTTTTTTGCTTGCATGATGAAAGTTTCAAGAGACATGTTTTCATGTTTAAAACTTAAGAACTCAAAAATATTTTTGATAAAATATCAACTACGAAAAGAGAAAGAAACAAAGCTACAAAATTTTACACTTCCATAACTACAATATATCATAAATTAAACAATGCAACTTGAGGGGGAAAAACACTGAGACGAGTATAAATATTGAGCAAAGTAGACAGAACAAGTATATATTAAAAAATTGTTTATCAATGACAATTCTTATTTTTTATCGATTTTTTCAAATGAACAATAGATCATTTTTATAGATGTAAATTAACATAATTTCATATGTAAAGGACAATTGAACTAAACGACCATCATTCAATCTAAATTGATTAAATTTGGTAAATGATTAAATCTTTTAACAGAGTAATTAGGTTCATGGTTATGAAACATTGTTATTTTAAAAACACATGCACATATAAAAGAATGATTTTTCTCCTTATTTTTCCGGTACTGCGATTTCCATAAATAAATGGTTTTTTTTTTTTTTTGAACAAACAAATAAATAAATAAATAAATAAATGGTTTTATATGAAAAATAACAAACAATTTACAATGGCATGTTAGTAGAATAAAGTGTACTCTAGTTACATGTTATTGCAAATTAAAAACAAAAAGTCATGATTTACTTAATCAACCCACTCAATATATATGAGTACATATCTACCAAATTGACCTAAAAAGAATGAACTGACTTCTGATATACATGTTTAACAAATTAGCCATAATAAATGTATTGGACACCGATGCCTCTAGGCTACTATGATAGAGACTGACACATTACCTCTTACCCAAAAAAAGTAAAAATTCATAAAAAATTTGCAATAATCTTATATATGATTTATAACTATTTGATGTATAAAAGAAGATCGTTACCAGATGAAGACATTAGTTTATGTATCTTTAATTCCATCATGGCCAAAAATGGCTTTGTTAATTACTCCATCACAATGTACACGACACTTATACCTACTCTTTAAATGATAGATAAGTTGGATACATACAACCCTCATCAAACCTAAAATCAATTTAGAACAAAGAATAATTGTAGCCTCTTCATGTTTAGATATTTGATCAGATTCTTGGCCGGTGGTATCACACATGTTAATAAGTCCTTAAAGTGTCATTTGGGGAACTTACATTTTGATGATTATAACTTTCTAAGTCTTGGAGGTTATAATGAAATTAAGCTGAGAAAGGTACAATGTAAATGTACTGACAAACCAAAACTCAATTATTTGACTTCATTTATATATTTTTTTATTAATTTTTTGTTATATTGATTTTTTACTATGTTTGGTTTTCAAATCTGAAGATAAGAAGTACGGGTTTTAAAAGCCGATATTTAAAAGATACCAAAAATAGGTGAGAGACAAGAAAATCATAAAGATATGACATATATATATATATATATCATAACATAAATGATAAAACTAACTCAACGATCTCAAATTTAATTTCTCTGTTGGCCACATTACATTATATGTCTCAACCAACAACAGAACACGACCCAAGCTGTCAAAAGAAAAGAAAAAGAAAAATTCCTCTCTATATATAACAACATTCTCATCACAGTCCATATATGACATTTTACATTCTCTCAAAAGAAACTTTCTAAATAAAAACATTAGAGTCCCACGTCCTTCTCTTATATATTACCATGTTGCTTGTTTCGTTTGTGACTCTTTTGGTGGCAACAGCTTTACAGCCTCTACCATCAGTGGTGGCTTTGGACGTTCATCTTCTTCGTCAGCTAGCCGCGAAGCACAATGTTTCGTCTATACTTGTGTTTGGAGACTCTAGTGTCGATCCAGGAAACAATAATTTCATTAAGACCGACCTGAAAGGGAATTTTCCACCTTATGGTGGTAATTTCATCAACCATAAACCCACTGGTAGATTATGCGATGGATTACTCGCTCCTGATTTCATTGGTAAGCTTTATATTATAGTTTAGAAGTTAAATTTCAATATTTATTCTTGTGAAAATACTAACGTGTATATATATTTTCAGCTGAGGCCATGGGTCACCCTCCCGTGCCGGCTTTTCTTGATCCAACCTTAACCCCAGCTGATCTAACTCGCGGTGCAAGTTTTGCCTCGGCTGGTTCTGGCTATGACGATCTCACAGCTAATATATCAGTAAGCCTAAACAAGTTCTTTTACTTTTACCTTCTAGTTATAAAAACATAAGTTAAAATTCTTTTTACAAACCAAGACCGAACTAAAGTTAAACTATTTTGTTGGAATTGTACTTGTACAGAACGTGTGGAGTTTCACTACACAAGCCAATTACTTTCTGCATTACAAGATTCATCTGACCAAATTGGTCGGTCCACTAGAAAGCTCAAAAATGATAAATAATGCGATATTTCTTATGAGTATGGGATCAAATGACTTTCTTCAAAACTACTTAGTCGATTTTACTCGACAAAAACAATACACTGTTGAACAATTCGTCGAGTTTCTCTCCCACCGTATGCTTTACGACGCTAAGGTATGTTCTTATGTCTCCATTTAACTCTCGTATACGTTATGATGTCTAAGTATATGATAACTACATTATATATGGTCTATATTACACAGGATTACATTATCATATAAGATAAGATATACTTTCTTCTTTTTTTCTTTCCTTTTCTTTTTGTGTGAAGAAAGCCAATTTTATTTTCACTATTGCATGGATTTATTGTATTTAGAAAAGAACGTGTTTGTGTCTGAAATTAATATTAGCTGCTGAAATAAATGCGTATGTAGTGAAATTGAATCATTCTACATATATCTTGTGTATGTGTATGCGTGTAGGTCCTGATAATTAATTAGAAAATAATAAAAAAAAGTCATAAGTTACGGGAAAAAAAAAAAAGGAACAGTGTACAAAGAAAAGTTTTATACGAATTCTCTCTGGTTGTTGAGAGAATTAAATTTCAATACATTATTTCTAACCTTTAATGATATGAATTTTCCATTTTTCATGTCGGCTTAATGGAACATGTCCATGCATCACACAACTCATATGCATATTATTTTATTTTTTTCTTTTTTTGGTTACTTTTAAAATTTCTTGAACCATTATGGTAAGGTCATCATCTTTGTCCCATTTATTGGGAAACATAAATATTATCATGTAGCCAGGCAAGTAGAACTGTTCAGTGAGATTTGTGTTTCAATACTAAAAAAGATATGAATTGCATTTTAGTATAAAGATATTCATAGGATCTTTTTAAGCATTGGTGTTGTTATTTTACAGATGTTGCATAGGCTTGGAGCTAGAAGGCTAGTGGTGGTGGGAGTTCCTCCCATGGGATGCATGCCCTTGATTAAGTACCTACGAGGCCAAAAAACTTGTGTAGAGGAACTAAACCAAATCGCTTTCTCCTTTAACTCCAAAATCATCAAGAATCTAGAGCTTCTTCAATCTAAATTCGGGTTGAAAACAATCTATGTTGATGCCTATTCGACCATCCAAGAAGCCATTAAAAATCCAACAAAATTTGGTAAGAACATATATACCTTATTGCTTTTAAAACACAACTTTGAGATACGGTCTCATTTGTGTAATTTTTTGTTTTAATTTGTAGGTTTTATCGAGGTTTCGAAAGGCTGTTGTGGAACAGGTACATACGAATATGGAGAGACATGCAAAGATATGAAAGTTTGCAAAGATCCTGCCAAATATGTTTTTTGGGACGCAGTCCATCCAACACAAAGAATGTATCAAATCATTGTTAGGAAGGCAATTGCATCCATCGGTGAAGAGTTTCTTGTTTAGATTATATTATATCTTGAGTTCATTACAATCATGATTTATGTAAAATTCGAGGATGTAACTGCAAAATATTCAAAATATTATATTTAATGGTTCAAACCTTCTAGTGAAAATAATTATGTGTTGAATACATTACAATCCACATACATGGTTTAGTAACCGCAAACAATTCAGGCACATATTGCAAATGACTGAACACGAAAATAATAATAAGGTTATGATTTACACATAATATAGTCTGTTAGTTCGTGGTCTTTAACAAGATTGGATGAGAGAGTATCCTCTCATGTATCACTGGTTTTGATTTTCACAAAAAATATATAAACTATTTTCGTATTCAGAAAAATACACAAAGTTTTTTTCTCTTTACTAGTTATACTCAAAATCTGAACAGTAAGAAAACAGTATACTGAATAGTGATCATAATCAAATGTATTAATTAACTAAAAAAATCTCATATACAACCAAAAATAGAATCATAAACTGGTCGGAGAGTTCTAAAGATATTGAAATAAGTCTTCTCACTTGGATGGATAGAATCGAAAAATACATAAGCAGATGTATTGGGACATACATATGACTTTGGGTTACACAAGAATGATGTCTCTAAGTATCCGCTTCCACAACAGCCACTGCTCACTTCCTCAAACCCTATCATACAAAAATAAAAAATATAGAAATATTGTTGAGACCAAATTGATGACTTACATTTTGTACCAATGAAAAATAACACATATCTTAAGCAAATATATTTTTACCTTTTTATTGTATAAAAACTGAATACTTTAATAATTATTATAAACGTATAATTTTATCATTGTTCTTTTCGGAACTATAAGATAATTTTGACATTTGATAATCTACCACTTACCTATATAAAGTTGAAAATTAATAATAGCCTTAGTTTGTTAAAGAATTAGAAAATAGTCTTCATGTTTGTAAATAAGTAAAATAGTTAACCACATATCCTATAAACTCTAAAAAGCCATAACATTTAACCATAAGTCCTAAGATAAAAAAAAATATGTTAACTAAGCTACTAAAGATTGTATCATGATCATTTAGTTTTGTTTTGTACTTACCAAATTTTTGATAGTCATGAATGATCTCAGATAATGGGTTATAGATGTCGAAATAAAAGATCTTGGATCCAAGATGGGCTAAATTCATTTGCATGAAACCCAATTCTTTTTGTAAAAGGATATTGTAGTTCTTGGCCACATCAGAGAACCAATCAATGCAACGACGGTTGGTCAATGCTTCACTGGAGAATAACGTTATAACAATCGGCAAACACCCAATTGGAGGTACACCTGCCACTATTATATTTCTTGCTCCTTCCTTCCACAATCCCTATTGAAGTATTCAGTAATAACCATATCCATACAATAAGTTTTTTTCTCTCAAGAAATGTATCTTAGAACAAAATAAAACTAGTCGAATCTAAATCGGGCCATTTTGAAAGAGATAATTAGAAAAACCAGTTTTAACAATGTATACGAATGAGGACGAAGTCAGTTTGACAAAGTGAACTTTTGGTACGCATGAATTATAAGTTCGTTTAGTTAAGTACGTAGATTCAAGTCAAAGCGGAAACATTACAATTTATAATTAGAAAATACTATATTTCCATATTAACCCTACTACACTTTAATGTTTTGATTGATAAAGCTACGATCATATCTTTAAAATCTCAAAACATCACTAATTTAAGGTCTAAAGAAAATCATACTAGTATAATTTTATTATTCTAGGTTTAATAAACTTTTGAAAGGCCAAACATTTGTGGTGCATTTTTGAAAATTTATCAAAATTGTGGTAACTTGAACTAAAACTTATTTTTTTGTGCTGCTAAAAATGTTTATTTAAAAAATTAGGTTTCTGGAATTCTACGTTGTATTATATATAAAACCCCCTAAAAAATCTAAGAAAATCATACAGTAAAATAAATGTTTTAATTTTTTTTTTGGAATTAAATACATTTGATTAGAAAACAGCATTTTAACAAATTAATAACCAAAACCCCATACACAACTAAATTGTGTTAGAATTTATTTTTATGTTTAAGATAATTTCTTTTTTTAATACGAATAATATTTGACTGAATTAAATTCAAACATTGAATTATATAAATGAACGTTTTAGGTTTATTGAAAATCAGGAAAATATGGAATTTTCACCTGGATAAATTGCTTGAGATTGGAAATAACGAATTGTTGATAGGCTTCGATAGTGAAAGTCTTCCTTCGTATTGGAAGTAGGAAATAATTGATCACGAAATCGTTGGTTCCTGCACTCACACAAAACAAAGCTTCTCCTATGTGTTTCTCCATTTTGTCTTTTCCCATTTTTTTCTCTAATTTTCTTTTGTATTCTCTGAAATATTCTAGCTGACTCGGAATGTCTATCACGCGCTCTGTTCAGAGACACCACAATGAAAGCAACAACACACCCAACAAGATAATTTAACTTATGTCTTCTAAAAGTGTACAAAAAAATAACACAGTGCAATCATTGGTCCAAGAAAAATAATCGTATATATAGTTTCATTTTACTTAAGATAGAAATGATTTGAACATGTTCTCTTTATAAAGAGACTATAGTTAAATACCCTAATAGTAGTGACTAATCACCTAGAGAACTCCTATGTGGAGAGAATGAAAGGGACAATATAAAAATACATAATGATACTTTATTTATTTGTCGTCACTCGTCAACAACATCAAGTAGTGACTAATTTTATTCTTGTCATTATACTAATTTTATTTCTTCACACATTCGAGAACCACAAATAAACATGAGGTTTTCAATGTTTTTCTTAAGATATTATAATTCAGTGAAACATCCCGGCTGATAAATGATTGGTTTGTTTTTTTTGGTGGAATAAATGATTGGTTTGTTTATAACTTCATATTTATATATTATCCTCGATATTGAAGAATGTAATATTTTCGTATATAAAAAATAAACAAGTATGTAACCCCATGATGTCTTTTCAAAGTGTTGATTAATATGTAAAGCAATCCTCAATTTCTAGTCCTTAAAACGTAATTTTTTAAAAACATTTGGTTAATTTACACGACCAAATAACAAAAGAAAACAATACTAATAATCATCTCGGAAGTACTAATCAAAGCTTATATCTAGGTTGGGAAGTCTCATTATATGGTTATGATAAATATTAAAATAACGACCCAATTGTGTATATAATAATGTCTCAAAATCAAAAAGAGAGATAAGAGAGATGGAGATTGGACACTAACGTACAGTAATGGTTGGAGTGAGAGGATCATATCCAGAACCAGCTGAAGCAAAGCTGACTCCACTTATTAACTCATTTATTCCAAGACTCGGGTCCAAGTAGGCTGGCACATTCTCCTTCACACCAATGTATGAAGCTATGCAATAATGCATACATATTATATATATATATATATATATATATATATATGTTCATGTCACTTAAATATTGAATCAATATATCTCAATTGTGTATATGAACTAGGTTCGGACCCGCGCTACAACGCAGGGGAAATAATTACATATATATAACTTTTAACGGATTAGAATATGTTACATTTTAATTTTGTTAGAATGCAGTCGATTACGGTAAATCATATATTTTTATAATATGTTTAAATCAAATAATAAAAGAAAAAGCGAGTAAATAATCATATACTGAGTTTTGATACAATTAAAAACACGGTGAAAATTTAACAGCACGAAATAATATTTGTCGATAAATTATTCATTTTGACTATTTTTGTAGTAAAAGTAGGAATATACGTAAAATTTACATATTTACAATAATTTTTTTGAAAGTCCAACTCGTAACAGAATTCATTTCGTAAAAAACATTATTCGTAACTCGCTTTATCATTACAATTGTGATTTTAACAAATTACCCGTGAATTATCTAAAATTTACATAGTTTGATATATAATATATTTTATCAATAAAA